TGATTGCACCACTGCACTCCAGCCTACGTGACAGAGGAAGACCCTGTCTCAAAACAAACAAACAAAAAACCCCTCAGAAACAAAAGAGAGAGAGAAAGATTCTTTCTCATATTTCAAGGAGTAAAGAGGGAGGTTCAGAGGTGTGTGACTTCCCCGAGTTACCCAACAATTCAGGAGGAGCTGGACCTGGAAATAAGGTCCCATTTTAGCCTAAGCAATAATCCCTCAAGTCAATGATCCGTTCTGAGGACACTTTTTTTTTTCTTTTTTGCACCCACCCTGTCTGTTCTGAGGACTTTGAAGGAAGAGTAAACACAGGTGGGTTGGACAGTTACTCAGTGGTTCTTTGTCAGAGACTTGGGTCTGCATTTTTAGGGGAATTCATTTGCCCTCATTCCCCATTATAGCCTATTCCTAGAAACTATCCGTTAACTTTCTACAAGAGCAGAACCACCTCTTAGTGCTCACTCCAACCTCCACACCCCCCCAGGAAAGGGAGGGCGGAGGTTACAATGTCTGGGGGTCCCTCATGTCTTATGCTGCCTGGGTGAGGCTCTTTGGCCACTCCTCAGTGAGAACCAGCACACCTACGGATATGTTGTGGTGCTATCCAGGGGACATGGAGAGAGCCAGGCACTGCCTCTCAATCAGCACGGCCCCCTCTGTCTCTTTTCTTTTCCTTTTCTTGTGTTTGAGATGGAGTCTCACTTTGTTGCTCAGGCTGGAGAGTAGTGTCACGATCTTAGCTCACTGCAACCTCCGCCTCTTGGGTTCAAGTGATTCTCCTGCCTCAGCCTCCAGAGTAGCTGGGACTACAGGCATGTGCCACATCACCCAGCTAATTTTTTTTTTTTTTTTTGTATTTTTAGTAGAGATGGGATTTCACCATGTTAGTCAAGCTGATCTCGAACTTCTGACCTCAAATGATCCACCCACCTCAGCCTCCCAAAGTGCTGGGATTACAAGTGTGAGCCACCGTGCCAGGCCCCTATTTGGTTGCTGGTCAAGATTCCTTTGAGTCTACTGAGAGGAGTTTTTGGTTTGTAGTAAGCTGTTTTATTTATTCTTTCAACAATATGAAATGTCTACCTTGTGCCAGGCACAATGCTGGGCATACACTGACATTCGATCTAAGGGCAAGCGGTGCAGAAGGATAGGAGACGGGGCATCATGGCAGATTTCTCTCATTCTCCCAGCTTCCCTAGCATGGCACTTGTTCAATGGTGGATGTGCACACTCATCACGTTGAATCAGAGGATGTCTCCACGACTGTACACATTACACATTCCTATACCAGTCACACTATGTTTAAAACACAAATTGTGCAAGTGAGTCTTCCAGAGTAAGGACAACTTCTAGAAGGGGGATGGTATGGTAGAATTCTGGAAGAGCGTGCTGTCTGGCACCTATGAAAAACCCTTTGATCCACTTTTGCCATCAGCCCTTTGACATCCCTCTCTTATCCACTAACAAGAACAAATCAAGAAAATGAGCAAATCACACGGCAAGAGTACATTTTGAACAACTTTTATTATACGTTTAGTGTTCTCTATACAAAAGAAATCAGTTTTTTTACAGTGATTCAAAAAAAAATTCAGAATAATTTGGCCTTTTCATTGCTCATGCAGTCAGTTTATAAGTCCATGTATTAGACGGTCCTCCATGGCCCAGAAGTCTTCCCTGCTGAAGGTCGTGCGTGACACCCTCAGATACGCATCTGTCACTGACAAAGTTGGTTAATGCAAAATAACTCGCAAAAAAGGAAAGAACATGATGTGAGAGGGGTTAAAACAAGGTCTGGCATGGAGTTAAATGTTTAACCAATGGAAAAAAGATCAGACCAATTTGTGCGTGTGTGGATATGTAGGAATGGATGGAGACGTTGGGGAAAAAAATTCCACACGGGAAAGAACAAATTGGAATGGTGGGGGATACGGGTGTGTGGTAGGGGCAGGGCAGGAGGTCCTCCGGGGTCCAGCATGGGTCGGGAGTGGGAGCAGGACAGAAGGTGGCCACGTCACAGGTGACTGATGCTCAGCTCAAGGGGAGTGTGAAGAGGTTGGCAAAGAGCTGGGGAGCCGGGCAGAGGGACAACACTGACTGAGGACACTGCAGTGGGGAATCAGAAAAAAAGGGGCAGCTCAGGGACATCTGATCTGCCTCATTTTTGAAAAAGAAACAGAGTAGTGCACAAAATTCTGGATATCTTCTCCCAGAGTTTTGTGTTTATTGCTTCACCGAAGTCTTTACATCTGTTGAACTCCAGCCCAGCAAATCCCAGGGTGGCAGCTTGCATGGGCCCTGCTGCCTCTCTGCACCCTCTGGCCATGGGCAGAACGGACAGAGATGCCCTCACTTCTGAGGAATACAGCACGCTGAAGGCCCGATGTGTTACAAAGCAAGAGACACCATTCTAGGGGGTACAGTCTAGGGTTCACAGTAACAAACACCAATCAGCTATTCTATTCCACTGGCCCAGGTCTGCCCTTAATTGCACGGCTGGGTGAACCACAGGCTGATCAACAGACAGACTGATCTTGGTCTACGAAAAAATCCTGTTCGTCTTTCATTTTGGGGGCATGTGGGGGATGTGGGAGAGGCAGTAAAGAGGTATGAGAGGGTGAACCAGAAGGATAGATCTTAATACCTCTGTTTCAAAGGAGGCAGCTGTGGTGAGATGAAAGAACACTGGACAAGGAGTCAGAAGGCCCAAGTTCAAGCCCTAACCTTACCTTAGTTTACCAGCTATGTGATCTTGAGCAAAAATCCCTTCACTTCTGTGGATTTGCATATCCTTGTCTGTACAATAAATCATTTCAATGAGATCAGCTCTGGGATTCCTTCACATGCTGAAATCCGATTCTGGTCCTAAGCTAGATGCCTTTGTACGTATTTCATTTCCATTCTTCTCATTATGGAACACCCATTTAATACTAGTATGCTGACAGGAGGAACAGCAGTTTCAGGTGAGGCTTGAGACACTGTTTGGTGGGTGCTTGTGGCTCTCCTGGATGGTTCTCCTTTCTCTCTGATCCCTCTCTGAATGTGTCTCAGGAAGGCCCATTATTAGTAAGGAAGGGAAAGAAAGGACACTTCCCTGGGCTTGGGCTGTGCAGGCTGGGGACAGCCACAAAGTCTGGCTTGAACTCACATGGGGTAGCCCCTGTCTAGGTTAAGGGAGGGGAATGCTAGGAGATGGTCAAGGGAGGGTGCTGGTCTGACTCTGCCCGGCTTGCCTATGCCTCCCAGGGCCTTGGTCTCCTCCTGACACATCAAGCTCTTTGTTTCATTGTTTTGAGGCCTATTTTTTTTTTTTTTAAACAATCAGGGCCCTCCTCAATGCTACTCCTCGGCTACTATGCAGAGCTCAAGCAGGATCCTTTGCCAACTAACGGGATAGACCCAACCGCAACCATGAGCTTGTGTGTGTTTGGCGGGGCTGGCCGGAGTGGTGACTGGGCAGGAAGTCAGTCTGCACCAAGGTGTCAGGAGCGGGGAGCGGTGCCCTGTGCCGGCCTCCCAGGAACCTGCTGCCCTCCCACTGAGAAGGGATTCTCTGGCACCAGCCCCAGCCCACGGAAAGCCTGAGAGGCTTCCTCTCCTCAGAGAGTTAGCAAAGCAGCCTCACAAAGACAGACAAAAATGTGCTACGTCCCTGCTCCTTCCATCAAATGGGCTGTTCGTGATGCCCTAAGACTTGGCCCTGCTCCAGCACAGGGCGCCAGAAAGAGACCGCAGCCCGTGCCATTGCTGCGGCAGAGTTTCCCACTCCTTTGGCTCAGATGCTCTCTCTAGGTGCTGCCAACAGGAATTACCTAAATAGGTCCCAACCCTGGTGGCCTCTCCCGCTCCTCTAACTTGCGTTCCTCACCCACACAGAGCCCTTTGCATCTCATCTCATGCAACCTGGATGTGGACTAACCCTTTGCCCCAAGAGGCAGAGCAAAGAGGCTCAGGAAGCAGGACTGTTTTTCAAGCCACACCATGGTTCTTGACTGCTTTGTCCTGCCCAGCCTTGGTGACCAGATGGATGAAATTCTCCCTCAGAATCCCTCTCTTCAAGCTCATAGCCATCAGTGGCTTAAGCAATAGAGGGAAGAATGCTCCCAACTCAATGGCCACTGTGTCCCAGCACTTGATTTCAGGACTGTCAGCCCCGTGAGGGCAGGGACCACATCTAACTCACGCGCCATGGTATCCACAGCTCAGGCCTTAGTTCAGACTGGATTTCAGAGTATTTGCTGAATGAATGAATGAATGAATGAATGAATGGACAAATGACAGCACAGGAAACTACAGCTCTTAGGGCTGAGCACACAGGTGGGATTGCAGCCCAGTCAAAGGAACTTCTAGAGTTACTGTAAGATGCCCAGCACTTTCCTCCCAGCCAGCCAAACTGGAGTGCCGATGGTAATGGTGCTGTCCTGGCTTCACTGTTGGTATGTCTTGGGGTAGTTGCTTGGGAGACCTAGCTGGCAGGGAGTGCTGGGCAATTCTGCTTTCGTGCTGAGCTGGGCTGGACTCTGACACGGGCTCCATGGAAAACGCACTCTCCTCTTCCCCAAAGGGGCTGCCTCCTGTATCCTGCAATCCCCACGCCAGCAGCGTTTGATCTCTGACCACCTGCCTTCCTTGCTTGGGGAAAACTTAATTCTTCAGCCTCAGATTTGCTTCTGCTCAGACGGGTGTGATTGCATGGTGATGGGGGGTAGCTCTCAGCACCCACAGAACAGTAGCCTGAGAGAGGGCTAATAGCATTTTCTTCATACACAAAGGACAGTGCAGAGCCTGGCAGGACACTGGAACGAGGTGCAGAGGCAGGCTGTGGGCTTACTTCTCCCCAAGACCCTTACAAGGGAAGCAGCCTTCCCAGTCACCAGGTGGTGTGGCAGACTTGCTCACCGTCCCTTCCTGCCCTAAGAGCCTGCTTTCGGTGCAGTGAGTTCACTGGCATGTACGGTGCAGTATGGAATGAGTGTCTGAGAAACTGACTACTCTGCTCAGATCCAAAGCGTTTTCTGGAAAGGCCAGTCCTTTAATTCAGCTCACAGGCACACTTCCCTGACATTCCCTTCAGGGACAGTGGGCCTAGTATCCAAGCAGGTGTTGGAGGAAAGCCAGGGGAGGGGCCCTCCAAGCTCATGCCCCACCCCCTGCTGTTTACCCTGTCCCCTTGCACTGTGATAAGCTGCCCCTCAGGCGTCCAGGCAGCAGCCCTGGCTGAGGCTTGGCCCAAATGACCATCACACACTCTCAGGTTCAAACAGCCTTATTGGCTCAGTTCTGGGCTATGATTTCTTACCAGCAGACAGAGAGTGTGTGTCTATGGGCTTGACCTTCAACTGAATGATTATTAATGATGCAAGCATTGCTAATACCTTTGCAGCTTAAACATGTGGCAAATGATGCTTTAATAAAGTCACTGAAGGACAGAGCCCTGGTCCGGCCCAGGCCCCCTGGCTAGCAGCTGGAGGCTCAAATCAGAGGCTGTGCCCATGGCAGCTGATTCGTTCCTGGGGATCAGCTTCACCCTCCTGAAACTGACCGGAGCTACAGAAACAGCTACAGGGTTCCTCTTAGACTCAAGATCTCCCCCTCTCCTTCTCTGTCTCTGAGGCTAGGTACCTTTGGTTTCAAAAATGCATTAGGTGGGGAGGATGAAGGCAGCACCTTCGGTCTGACAACTGCAGGTCTGCGAGTGTCTCCATTTGGGGTGACTGGTGAGGACGTGTGTTGGGTGGCCGCTTCTGGTCCTGCCGGAACACTTGCATAGGCTGCCCTGCTCTCCTGGACACGGACATCGCTGGAGGCTTCAAGGCTTGCAGGGAGGGGCTGGGAACCTGGGAACTCCAGGGGCAGATCAGCGCTGCATAAGGCATACAAAGAGCATTGAGTCCTCCCCAGGTGGGGGCATCACAGCACTGAGTACGGTGCCACCGCAGGTCCCCTGATATGTATACACCCCAATGAAAGGGCAGACTGGCTCAGTCTTGGGGCAAGTCCCCATCCACATACCATGTCAAACAAAAGCCTCAGTGTCCTACAGAATTGGCTGAGAAGATGATATCTATCTGCTAGAGGTGGAAGGGGAGCAGCGCCTTATGCCCCAAACGCACCAGCAAAGCTTTTGCATCACAGCATTCCATCTCCTCCAGGGTGGCAGCGTGGGCCCCAGTCACGTGGACAGGTGCCCTCTGGGACAGAGTGGGTGTGGCCCTCTATCTACATCCTGGGTTTCACCAGTGGGGAGGAAGGAAGTCCAAACCCAGCCTTTTTCTTCTCTCTAGAGGTAAGCAGAGTTCCCCCAAGACCAGACACCTGATTTTCTTCTGCTTGAGGTACACAGTCACTGGCGTTGAAGTCCTTCCTATCAGTGCTCACTCCTGTTCCTCAAACTTCTTCAGAGTCAGTGCAGCTCACATCTTAGATACACCAGAGAAAAGGGCAGGGGGGGAATGAGGAGCAAGAGGTAAACACACCTCCCAACCGAACCAGAGAGCAGCAAGGAGGCCTGCACACCCTCTCCCTGCCAAAAATACTGTCATTTTCCAGAAAGAAGCCAAGCCCAGCTCAGCAACTGACAAGGCCGAGGCAGAGGGGTTGGGAGCCAGGGGAGGCATATGGCGAGAAAGGCATCCTTCGGAAATGCATTGGCCCAGAGGTGGTTTGAATATTACAGCCTGTCTACATGTTCTGGTACGGATTCAATCCTTTTTGCCTATCTTTGTGGTCTCCTGGGGGAGAATCTACTTTTTCTTTCTTTTCCAGGAACACTTTTTCAAAAGGAAAAGAAAACGGAGACATCGGGTCTGGAGGGGAAGATGCACAAAGCAAAATTAAGACAATGAGAAGTCCTGTAACCAACAGAAACGGTGAGCATGTGCCGAGGCCAAGGGCGGGCAGTGTGGTGGAACGCTCGGGGGTGGCTGTGAGACTGGGCAAGGGGCCAGACTCCCTCTAGCTGAGCTCAGCCACGGCTCCAGCTCTCCCACACTGGTGGCACCCGGGGCTGAAGGGGGGTCATTGGGAGGGGGCTTATGGGTGGCTTGGTGGTCCCTGATCCTCACAGCTTGGCAGACCCCCATATTGTACCCTTGTTACTGAAGGTGGTGGTGGCTTTGTGGTAGGTCTGCAGTGGTTTAGTTTCCCCCTCTCCCCTCCTCCCACTTGCAAAGTGGTGGCTGTGCCTGGGTGGGCTCCATTAGGCCAGAGAGTAGATAGCATTGACAGGTGACGTGGCCTCTGAGCTTTCGTTGCCCTCTGTTTCCTCCTTGTCCTTTTTGACGGTGTACTGGCCGATGAAGGAGCCGTCTTCATTGAACTGGCCCTCGCCACCCTCGCCATAGTCCACCAGGCTGTCGTCACTCTCCTGCTGCTTGATGGTGCCGTCCAGAGATGTCTGACTGCCCTGCAGAGGCTTGTTGTCCTCATCACTGGCCAAAGAGAGACAGAGAATCTCAGGTGGTGTGGGATGGGGCAGCCGGCCTCCTGCCAACACATGTCCTACACAGCTCAGAGAGGATGGGACCCAGGAGACCACCCAGTCCAGCCCCCGCTTCACCCTCCCCTGTCCAGCCTGCGCTACAGAAGGGAAACGGAGACAAGCACCTTCTCTAAGGTGAGGTTGCAAGTCAGGTAGGGCAGGGAGTGGAGCCCATGCTTTTGGGTTGCTGGTCCGGGTCCCTTCCATGAGACTGGGTCCCTGTCTGTGGTGGGAGTGGATAGAGGATGGCCACCCCATGGTGAGGCAGAGCCACTGCTTGTGAGACCATACGGGATGGTTCTAGTCCCGAGTGTGTCACTGTGTGGTTTTGTGACCTGGGCCTCAGTCATCAAGAGGGGCGGGCCCAGCTTTGATCTCCCAGGACCTGTGACTCTGTAGGGAAACACTCTCACCTTGACAAAAAGCAAGGCTTTTAAAGGAAGAAACCTCTCCCCCGCCTCTCTGCTTCTCTGTCTTGGTGTGTTTCGCTGAGCTATCTGGTTGATCTATAAAAAGATGTTATTACTTTGGACCTAGCAAGTACAGGTGTGCAAGAGTAGTGGGAGGGAGGCGCACACAGGTAAGCAGGTGATGCCAGCAAACGTGAGAAGATAGCAAGGCTCAGAGGATCATGCCTAGCCCCTCTGAGGCCTACAAGCCCTGGCCCTAAGCTCCCCTTATGCAGGGAGAGCTGGGAAGCTGCCAAATAAAGCTGCATGGGCCGCTGGGAACAGCTGCCCAGTCAGGATGTCTGCTGCACTCCCGAGGAGGCGTGGGCTGCTCCCTGAGCCAGCGTCTGTTCAGGCACCATGTCCCTTCCCTTGGCTGAAAAGGCTCAGAGCAGGCACCAGGTGGTGCTGGCTGCACTTCAGAGGTGAGCCCAGTTCCTGGGCAGGAGCAGCTCAGGATGAGCAGTGGGAGTCTGGGTCTCAGGGACCATAGCGGTGCCAGGCGGTCTGAGTAGACACACACCACACCCTTCCTTGCCCCCAGCTCCCCACCCACCCCCAGTCCTTCCTGGACATGGGGAAGACAACCAGCTGAGTTGCCATTACAGTGGGCAGTGCGTTCTCACTTCTAATAGCAGTGTCGGGCAAAGACAGCTGTCAGAAGAGGGCAGCAAGCCAGGGCCAGGGCTGTGTTAGAAGACGGAAAGCTATTAGCTCACTCCCTGCAGTGCTGCCCCATGAATACAGCCTAACTGTATTCTGGGACAGCCGTGCGTTGGGAGATGGTGTGAGGGAGGCAGCTCTCTGGGGCTGTGCTGAGTTTGTGCAGGAAGTGGAAGTCACTGTTTGCCAACTGGAGGAGGGGAATTGCCAGGCTCCTCACCCCACTTGCAGGTCTTGTTCGCATGCACTCCTTCCCAGGGCCCTCCACCCCATGTGCAGGAGCATGAGGACTGTGCTATGCGATTTGTGGGAATTCCTCCCCTGGTTCCAGGCAGCTAAGCTAAGTGCAGCCACTGGACAGTGACAGCCCAGCCAGTGGGAGGGGTAGGGGGAGAGGTCTGTAGCATGCCAGGCTGTTGAGGGAACAGGGGATCTAGGTCTAAAAAGAACAGACCGAATAGACCTCTCCTAATGGAAGCTTGAAAGAAACCAGAATGACTAAGGGTGGCCTTGGTCTGGCCACCTGTTGGCCTCGCTTCTGAGACATCTTCAAGGTCCAGGTGGATGGACATGGGGGAGAAGAACAAAGGGCGCCCCATGGGAAAGGTGGTCAATCACTTAGCCACAGACTGGAGTGAGAGCAACAGTACTCCTCGCCCCCAGGCCTATCCCCCCTGGAAACTTAGTTCTTCCTCTGATGTATTCATTTCAGCCTTTTCCCAGGTTAGGGCTCTTAGACTCATCCAAGGGAGGACTCTAGGACAGATGCTGCAGACCTTGCAGAGCCAAAGCAGAGGGGTGTGTGTGTGTAGGGGTGCAGGCCTCGGCATGCTCCTGTGCGTGTAGACCCAGCCTCAGTGTCTGTGAGGAGGAGGCAGGGGTTTTTGCCCGACAGCTTTGGTGTCTGGGGCAGGAGAGGTGCATGAGGAACCATCTCCTCACAGTGCAGGCTGCTCAGCCCCGTATTGGAGGAGGTCCACGCTCCTCCTCTCTGGCTGTACCGATAGTCTGGGGGAGGAGAAGCCCCGTGGCTTTTGGAACAAAAAGCCAAGGAAGTCTCAGCCCACAGGGAAGCTGGGCCCTGCCAGGGAAGATGGGAAGGGGGCTCTTGTGACTGCCCTTTCAGGGGGCTTGTGAGGATGTTGGGACTAGATGGACAGTTATGGCCCATAAGCCTACAGACAGGCTCCTGTGTGGGCAGTGGCTCCACCACCCATTGATCTGATTATGCTTGCCAGGCTGACGGGCAGAGTGGCAGAGGCCCAGGACAGGAAAAGGAGACCACAGCAGAGGACAAGGGCCTGGGCCCAGGCAGTAACTGGGTGGCGTGGGCAGGCAGGGCTTTGATCAGACATTCCCTCCATAGCACTTGGTCTGAGAATGACACTCCACAGCCCACTCTGCATCATCCCTCAGCTCAGAACATATTCGTGATCTCCATGGACAAACAACGACATTGTTAAGCCCAGATACGAAGATGCATCCAGGTAGGACAGGAGCACGGGTACAGAAGTATAGAATAGCAGCACCAGCAGCACCAGCCGGCCCCGGACTTTCCAGCTTTGCCACTAACTCACTGGGTGGGGAGCAAGGAAGAGTTTTAGGCAATACGCTTCCCGGTTTGGGCCTCAGTCCTCTCATCTGGGGCATAGGGCACTGGACCTAGATACCTTTCCAAGGCCCATTCCGGTCTAGAGCCCAAAGATATCGCCACGTTCAAGGAGAAACGACCTGGAATCAGCCCACCTTCATTCCTTGAGGCTTTAAGACATCACAGCCTCCCAGGGTCATTATCTTCAGGGTTAGGAGTAGAGTATGGGCAGAGAATCAGCCTGAGGGCTGAGCTCATCTCACAGCAAGAGGGTCCTGGGGCTCGTGTTCAGAGTGAAAAGGTGGAAAGATATAAATAGCAAGCTTGATACATTTGAGTTGTGCGGTTGAATGAATGAAATGCTGTTCGTCAAACTAATGCATGCATGTGTCAGGCAGTGTCTCCTGGGGGAGCAGCCTCGTCTGGCACTCTTAGGATGAGAAGCCTCTGAGTAAACTCAGCAGCACGCACTCTCCACCACAGCGCTGCCAGAGAGGCAGGGTGACGGCCCAAGGGGCAAGGACCGCTACTCATGGCCTCTCAGCCAAGTGGAGCTGTTCTGACGTGAGGGTGGTGCCTCAGGGACATGGAGGACAGCCTGCCTGAGAGAGGAGGAGGGAGATCACGCACCTATAGTCAAATGAGCCATCCTCTTCCTTGGGGTCTTCAGGGCCAAGGGGAACATCCTTCTTTTCTCGTACTTGGTCAACAAGAGAAGCAAAGACACAGACACGATGATTAAGTACATGCCCCTGCTCTCCAGGGCTCCACTGACTGCAGGGCCAGAAGGCACCGCCCTGGGCTCACGGACACTCTTTTTTAACAAGGCACCATCCACGCCTCCCTTGTTTTTGCTTCCTGTACTCAATCAGTTGCCAAGTTGACTCTGCCGCCTCCCTCTCAGCCCCAGAGGTCTCTTTACATCTCCACTGACAACTGAAATCCCCTCCTACCAAGCTCCCCCAACCACATCTCCATGAAGTCTCCCCAAAAGATCAAACAGATGTGATCCTTTCCTCTGCCAAAGGCAAACACTCCACTGTTTGCACCTTTCTTATTCTGCTCTGTGGTGTAACTATTTGTGCACGTTTCTCATGCCTATCACAGAAGGCTAGTTCTTTCCTCAAGGGTGGGGGTCTGTGTGCTTCTTCACAGTTCCTAGCAGAGTACCCTGAGCAGAGAAGACACGCCAGACACACCTATGGGATGGAAAGTGTCTCTTCTCTGTGACTCCCCCTTGTTGGCGTGCCCCCTTTCCTCCACTTCCTCTGTGACGTGTGAGCATTCAGCCGAGGCCCTGTCTTGTGCTGTGCTCATTCTTTCGGTGTCAGCTACGGTGCCCTTGAGGAGAGATCATTTTTCCTCCAGTATTGCTCGTGCACAGCACAGAGGTGGATGCACAGCGGGCACTTACATAAAAGCCTCTTTATGTATCTTTTTTTTTTGCAGTGGTGCTATCTTTGCTCACTGCAACCTCTGCCTCCCGGGTTCAAGCGATTCTCATGCCTCACCCTCCCAAATAGCTGGGTTTACAGGCGCCTGCCACCACGCCTGGCTAATTTTTGTATTTTTAGTAGAGGCGGGGTTTCACCATCTTGGCCAGGCTGGTCTCGAACTCCTGACCTCAAGTGATCCACCCACCACGGCCTCCCAAAGTGCTGGGATTACAGGCGTGAGCCACCGCACCCGACTTATGTGTCCTTTTTGAGATACAAGGTGGATAATCAGCCTCATTTTAGATGAGGGAAACTGAACCCTTGAGAGGTGAAGAGCATATCACGTAACTAATTAGTGACTGAATGAAGACCGGAGGGAAGACTAGCACCCAGGCCTTGTGGCTCCTGGTTCACTCATCTTTTTAAGAGACCAGGGGCTTACCCTGTAGCTGGAGGGCAAGAGATTAGTTTTGAAGAACTGTTTGGAATGAGATACTTTCTGAAAGGGCAAAGGACGGCTCAGAGTTGATCTGCTGGGTTCTTCTGGTATTCCACTTCCACCTGGAACGGGCGTGAACTCAGTCCACCCAAGTCTTACTGTCAGATGGAGGAGGCAGCCTTTTCCCTAACTGAGGCTTTCTCTCTTACAGAATCAGATAAGCCCAGCACAGCAGAAAAGAGTGAAAGCAAACATCGCGCACCAGTAAGGAATGATCATTTCCTGCCCTCCCTCACTTAAGGCACAGTTCTTCAGAGTCCTAGTCTGTGGGTACTTGGGCATGGGGAAGGAAAAAGAATCGAGTCTCCTCTCCCTTCTATTTCCTTTGTGTTGAGTTTTAGGGGGATCCTGAGGGAGGACCTGTTCTAAGAGATGGGGAGAAGGAAGCATTTGGGGAGCGTGGGGTATGTCTGGTGATGGGGCTTTCTGGGGCAGGGAGAAATTTCATTCTGTAGTCCAGCCAGATTTTTGCTTTCAGGGTCATCCATTATCCTGTCTCCTGTCACCCTACCCACCCCATCACAGACAGATGGCTCTCTTGCTCCTGTGTAAAAAACAATCAATATTTCCAGAAACAGGAATGCCAGAGGTCCTTGTCCTTGACCTTGGTATGTCTGGGCTGCAGGATCTTTTTTTTTCCCCCCTTTTTTGAGACGGAGTCTCATTCCATCACCTAGGCTGGAGTGCAGTGGCACGATTTCGGCTCACTGCAACCTCTCCCTCCCAGGTTCAAGCAATTTTCCTGCCTCAGCCGCCTGAGTAGCTGGGATTATAGGCACGTGCCACCATACCCAGCTAATTTTTTGTATTTTTGGTAGAGACAGGGTTTCACCATGTTGGCCAGGCTGGTCTTGAACTCCTGACCTCAAGTGATCTGCCTGCCTTGGCCTCCCAAAGTGCTGGGATTACACGATGTGAACCACCGTGCCCAGCCTGGAGGATCTTTTAAAAGTTTTATTTATTTATTTGAGACAGGGTCTAACTCTGTTCCTCAGGCTGGAGTGCAGTGGCACGATCATGGCTCATGGCAGCCTTGACCTCCCCAGGCTCAGGTAATCCTCCCACCTCAGCCTCTTGAATAGCTCGGACCTCAGACACCTGCCACCATGCCCAGCTAATTTTTGTATATTTAGTAGAGACGGAGTTTCGTCATGTTGGTTGGGCTGGCCTCAAACTCCTGACCTTAAGTGACCTACTCGCTTTGGCCTCTCAAAGTGCTGGGATTACAGGTGTGAGTCACTGTGCCTAGCCAGGGGCTGAAGGATCTTGAGGTCTCCTTGGGACTTTAGGGAAGCCCAAAGTGCTTTAGGACCACGGGGGCCCCTACCAATGCCACCCGTCTTCAGCCTCTCCCTGCTCCTCGCATCGGAGCTTCTGACCCTTGCTAGTGGTATTGGTGGTTACACCATCATCCTGTTGAGTGCCCACCTCTGGAACTCTCTCATGGGTGTGCTGCTTCTGCCCAGACCCCTCCTCTCCCCATTCTCTGGGACACGGTTAGAGAAAATGCCTCTCTTCCTTTCTCCTTCCCCGGGACCCAGGATCCTAATGAGATTCAGGCTGAAAAAAAGCCAATTTATAGAGCAGATGGGTGGTGAGTCAAGGGGAGGAAAGGTCATTCTTAACAGGAGCCAGGGTTCCTTCCATCCCCTCTCTGAGACTGCCTGGACTGTGCCATCCGTCCAACTCAGGCGAACTTAATTAACTCAAGTGCTTGCTGGCAGCCCGAAGACGCACAGGCAAGAGGATTCTATTTCCAAGCCGGGCAAGGGCTGGCTTCACTGAGAGAACACAGTCCCCGGATCTGGCTGGAGACCTGGAGACTCACGGGAAAGCGGACGTGCCCCGCCCTGCAAGCCCACGCCTCTCGCACGGCTCACCTGGGTACTTGCCGCCGCGACTCCTCTTGATGAAACAGACGATGAGCAGGATCAGCACCAGGAGGGCGATGGCGCACATAAGCCCAATGAACCAGCCCTGGGTGGCGATGTCCGCTTGGTTGTTGGTGTAAGCTGGCGGGGAGGGCCGGAAGCAAACCCGTGAATGATTTCATGGGGGAGACGGTGAGGCGGGAGATGGAGGGAAGAACTTCAGCTATTTCACATGGATGTTTCTCCTGGAGCCTAACACTACCACCTAGCAGCCCCCCGGCCCAAACTACCCCGCTAAAGGACAAAAAGAAAATAATTAAAGAGCCAAGGTCAAAAGATCAGAAAAGAGGCAAAGGAAAGGGGTACAAGGAGCAAATAAGAAGCAGAAGGCTGAACAGGTCGTTTAGGAAGGGAAAGTATCCTAGGAACGAAGCACGGCATTCTTGGAAACCTGAGGGCTGGTCACAGCCTAGTGGGGACTGAGGGATGGCCATGGATTGGCCATGGAAGTATGATTCCCCATGGATGAGTCCGGGGTGGAGAAATGGGAGCCGGCAAGCTACCCTCAGGGAGTGTAGGCCGTGGCCATGTTGCAAAAACCCGCTATGAGAACACCTTCGCAGGCCTGCACAGGCGCACAGCAGCATCCCTGCCCACCAGCATGGCTCCGAAGCCATCCAGCCTTCCTGAGGGTGGGGACTGGACCAAGTGGAGGCCCAGGATGCCCTGTCTTTTCACATCTCTCTAGTGGATCATGTGCTTCCTGACAGCAAAGGCAATCCTGGTGTGGGCACCCCTAGCCAGGCCAGCAGCGACGTGGGGCTGGGGCTGTGCCTTCTGCTCACTCCATGACACTTCCAGACTACTCCACACAGGGTGACCCCCCGATGGTCTGTGACAAGCCGATGTGCCCCCTCCTCCAACCCCTGTGACAGTGAGTCCCTCTCTGTCCATGCCCAGCATATGTGGAGACCTGTTTCAAAGTGGGCAGATCCCTTTGTGATTTGAAAGGCCTGCAGGAGGCCCTGAAGAACAGGTGCTCAGGAGTCATCTGAGGGTGTCCTTGATGGCCCAATGGCTGGGTTTGGGTTCGGGAGGGGGGTGTGGTCAGTACCAACTCGCCCTTCTCCTTTCTACTGGCTGGAGAACAAAAGCGACCCCTCCTGAAATGCAGCCTGTCACAGAACCTGAGACTCTGTGACAGAAGGGAAGGATCAAAGGAACTTAATACACCCAAAGTAACCCTGGAACCAGCCAGCCCAGAGACACCTGGGGAGAGGCACACAACAGCAGGCGCCCCAAGAACCATGGAGCTGGCACCAAGGCACTGAGCCTCCTTCTAGGAGCACAGGGAACAGCATGAGGGCCACAGCACGTGCGCCCCCAGATCTTCAGCACATGCCACTTGTGGGGACGTTATCTGGGTGCAAGCCCACCCTTTGTTCCTCTTGGGGGCAGAAACTATTTTTACAGGCTTCCCAGTGCCCAGGCAATGGCATTGCACCAAGAAAGTTCTCAATACAGGGTGAAGACTGATGAACAAGTGTCCTCTGCACTCTGGTTGCCCAGGGCAGCCCCGGGCTGAAAAGCAGGAGAGGCCTGTGAGAACAAGGCTTGTGAGTACCATGATGTAGGTAGGCTGCAGAAAAAAGTCCCATCCCTGCTTCCACTCCTGCTCCCAGCAGGCCCCCGCCACAGTGTCAGAGTGATCTTTCCAACCCCCCACGTAGGACTGAATCACTTTCTTGCTTTAACCCTCCAAAGCTTCTCATTGTTATTGAAGAAAACTCTTCATTCCTTATCCTGAGCTGTCAGACTCCATCAGAGCAGGCCCTGGCCGTCTCTCTAGTCCTACCTCCCACCACCCTGTCCTCATGCTTTATACCCCAGCCATGCTGGCCGCTCTCATTCTAGTGCAGGGCCTTGGCATCTGCTGCTTTTTCTTCTAATGGCTGCCTTGGCAACTGGTACCTCCTCAGAGAGGTCTTCCTGAACCTTCCCAGTTTAAACGAAGTCCCTTTCCCCAACTCCCACCCAGCCACTATCTCTATTTCATAGCATTTATAACCATTTAATATATATAGATCTATCATTATCTATTTAATCCTTCCTTCCTTCCTTTCTTCCTTCCTTCCTTCCTTCCTTCTTTCCTTCCTTCCTTCCTTCCTTCCCTCCCTCCCTCCCTCACTCCCTCCTTTTCTTTTTTCTCTTCCCCTACAACTCTCTCCCCTTCTCCTCCCCTTCCCTGCTCTCCCCTCCCCTTCCCTCCTCTTCTCTTTTTGAGACAGGGCCTCACTCTGTTGCCCAGGCTGTAGTGCAGTGGTGTTATCATAGCTCATTGCAACCACAATCTCCTGGGCTTAAGTGATCCTCCTATCTCAGCCTCCCAAGTAGCTGGGACTACAAGTGCATGTCACCACGCTTAGCTAATTTTTTTTATTTTTAGTAAAGACAGGATCTTGCTATGTTGCATAGGCTGGTCTCAAAGTCCTAAGTGTTCCTGTGTCTTAAAACAAAAACCCTTGAGGAACTTACCAGAATTTTCAGCTCCAGTTCACATGCTGCCCTCTTATTGGTACACTCTATACTCTTCCGCCCCCTCCAGTTCCTGCCAACTCCTCTGTAGCCCCAGCAAGCTGACTTTAAGCCCCTCTGTTCTTAGCGTTTCAGCTGTTACCACTGAGTGGGCCTCTCCCAGGCTGATCTCCACCTCCTTGACTCTCGTCATCACCAGTGATCCTTTATTCATCCCCATCATCCCTCCAGCCACCTCCACAACCGTAAGCCCAGAGCCGCCTCCTCCAGCTCTCCTTGGATGTGTGTGCCTAAAATTCAACCTGCATCTTCCTGCCCCCTGCCTTGGTTCTCCCAGCTCTCCTGCTGCTGCCAGAGGCCTCACCACTGTGCCCATCTCTAAGAGCTGTCACATCTTCCAAAACGCCTCCCATATTCCCCTCATTGTTCCATTCTATTCCAGGGGTCCCCTCATGTGTGCCTGTCAGTTCCTGTGGATACAATGAGACATCCTGTTACCACCTTCCTAGGAGACTTCCAATGATGCCACCTTTCCTTACTCCCCACTGTGTGGGCTCAGCTTCTGAGCCTGGCCTTCCAGGAGCGCCAGTCTCCTTTCCGTGCATCCTGCCCCTCCTGCCCAAGAAAGCCCAGGCTGTCGCCCTCCTAGCTCACTGCCACCTTTGCACACTCTACCCCTCCTCCCTGAATCTCCCCTTGCTCCAACTCACACCATCTCTGAACTCCGATTTCACCCCCAGCTGCTCCATGCAGTGGAACATTGAATTGTTCTATTTCCTGGGTCCTGGTTTCCAGTTATACTATTAAAGTCTTGAGAATGGGGGATCTCTTTTAGCCTCGTAGTACTTGGCACAATGCTGGTCACATAACAAGTAGTCAGTGACTATTTATTGATTAATGGGTCAATTTAATCTTACTATAATACAGTTAACCTGGCATACTGATTTAGGTTTTTCCCCTGATATTAGCTAGGGGTACTGGCTTGCCCATGTGCGGGACCTGGGCACTGGGATGAAGGAATTACTTCAACATGTGTTTGGATAGTTGTACCCACCTTTTGCAAGGAGGTTGGTTTGTGTGTCTGCAACGGCCTAGTCAATGGCCTAGTTGCACCACCATCTTCCTGGTGCTTGTTCTGATGCACCTGACAGCTCTCTCCACAAGACTTCCTTCCTCTTGGGAAAGAAAGTCATCATTCCAGGAGAAAGGGGCCACATGAGCAATTAGGAAGCAAATACGGCTTTTCATTCCTGATATACCAGGTGAAGTTCAAATGTTACCTTCCATCCTTACTGAAAAGGCCAAAGAATTTCCTGTGAAGTTTGGACACAGAAGGCTGTTCACAATCAAGTGGGATCTGGGATAAGGTGGGCTCGACCACATCCCATCAAAGTGATTTAGTTTCTCAAGGACCAAAAGAAATTGAGGACATAATGATCACACTTATAATGGGACCCCATGACCTGGACTCCGAGAGGAAGGCATTTTAGCAAGTCCTCAGAGCAATTATATTTGACTGTCAACACCATACTCAATGGGTCTGTTAAACTTGTTTCAAGATTCCTAACGGATCCAGTAATATCAGTGTGCAAAGACCAGGGTGCGTTTACACTCGCCACTTTCAGCTGTAACTGACCAGAGCCAGAAGAGCATCCTCTCGTCCAGCCCACACACCTCTTACACTGGACTAGAAGACATGTTTTGTGTGCCTTCCACACCTCCCCCTGCAACACCCACTCAGAAACGGGCAATACACCTGCAAAGCAGACAGCTCTCGTGACTCCTAATTCTAACTGAGAGGAATTGGGTTTGGCCAGGGAAGAAAGGCCAGTCACTCAAAGTCTGCAGAAGAATTATGTCCTAGAAATAGGGATAGATGAACAAATATAACGGAGATAGATTTTCCCCAAATACAGTTTGGCTTGGCTGTTCTCACTTAAGCACCGTTTGACACCTCTCCACACCTTGCCCCATCCTGGTCGACCAAAGAGATGCTTCTTCCAAACACAGCAGAGGCTGACTGCATTCAGGTCCCCTGAGGCCCTGCTCCCTGTTCTCCTGAGGTCCGAGGCAGGCTGCTATCTGACTGCTGGCCCACTCTCAGCATCCGCCATCCTCCTGCCTTTCCCCATCCCGCACCCAGTACAGAAGGGCTGATGGGCCTCTTGGAGTCCAGGGTTATGTGTTTGTAGCCCCTCAGGTCTCTTTGGCTTCAAACACTTGAAGGAGGTGATTAACTTCCCATTGGGATTTTTTGGTGAGGGTCAGAGAGGCTGTCAGCCTTTCCAGTGGTTTCCTTCCATTTCCTTCCTGAACTGCTACAGTGCATTCAAGTCTGCTGACTAAAGTGACAGCCTGTGGTTGTCTAAACGACCAGTGGTCAGGGCCCAGAGATCCTCACGAGTTCTTGCTTTGATGAAACACAGGGATCTGTGGGTTGCATGGACTTGGCTCTGGAGTCCATCCACAGGAAAGACAATGTGTATTTTTGAAGGATATGGACACACACTCACAGACTTCAGAAAGTGAAAATATTTCCTTTCCCTATGTGGTCTGCAGACAGTAATTTCCAGTCAGCCTGTGAGAGAAGTGGACGATATGTACTCAGAGCTGGGCTCATCAACCTGCCCACTCCAGCTCTCGCTGGGAGGAGCCTGGGAAGACTTGCCAGGGCTGATTGTTTCATCACTGGAAAGCAAGCTATCAAAATGAGCCTGTCCACCAAGCACAGGAAAAGAGAAACAAGTATTTAGGTTCAGAAGCATACCCGGTATCAATCGGTTTTCTATGGTGTGCTTAATACCCCAAATCAGATTAGGACATCCCTGAGGGCAAGGCCTGAACCCTCACCCACAGCCCTAGGGCTTAGCACCTGGAGAAGTCAAACTCTCAAAGCAGGCTGTCCTGGTTTTGGCAGTCTTCCCTAAGATGGAACCCTATTTTCAAATATCATCTTTGCTTTTTGCTGCTGTGCTGGACTCAAGTATGTAATGAAGCAAAATCAAATGCACATACCAGTGAGCAACAGCTTGGGACCTCATCTGAGCTAGACAGAGTCCAGCCACTTGCTCTGCTCGGTCCACTGTCCAGTTGCCTGGCCTGGCTCCCCTTGTTACAGGACAGGCTGGCCACTCACTCAGACATCCTGCCTGAGTCGGCCTGGCTAGCCTCAATCAGGGAGCCCGACTCTGAGACCCTCTGAGCCTTGATGGCATGCAAATGCGCAGGACAGGCAGAGACACAAGGAGGAAGACAGGATGCCAGACCAGGAGGGACTAGGAAAGAAGGGGTTGGGTGAGACGTTTACACAGATGGGCAGGGACTCCCGAGATGCAAGCTACCAGGATCAGCCTCGCCAGGCCAGGTGCAGGAGGAGTAATGAATATTTAAGTCAGCATTCAGAAGTTCATATAAATCACTGTGTTTTTTCCCCTCCCCTATCCTGTGTATCTAATGACCCGCATCTGATTAGGATATCCCTTGGGGGCAAGGTACTGATCCTTTTCTCTCTTAATCTCTTTCCCCACCCTTACCCTTAGCCCCGGGGCTTAGCATACAGGCCACTTGGCAGCCTGCTCGGCTGAGTTTAAAGCTACACACACACAGACCAGAGAGTGCCCTGTAAGTATCCGGACTGCCAGCTACCCCTACCAGCACAGAGATTGCTGAACCTTGTGCCCTTTGCTGAGCCCCAGTTGGCCTGTTCATTTGGCACAAGGAAGGCGTTTCTTCGTCCACAGCTGAAGCCACTATAGAGCCAGAACCATTCCAGTTCTGGAGAGCTTCTTCCCCTCTCCCTGCATGCCAAAAAGTTGCCCACTTTTAGGCCAAGACAAACTTGGGACAAAAACAAAGCCCCAAACAAGCTGTGTCACTCACTTTGAAATTTTTAACAATAGATGATGGTGGCAAGGGAGTAACCAATGCACTGATCTCCTGGAGCGACTTCTAGATCAAGGCCCTGTGATGGCCCTATCCCCTGATCCTGCATGAAGGGAGCCAGCCCCTGTGCACACAGGCCAGGTTGCACTACTCTCCTGCAGCCCGCAGACCCACAGACAGTGACCAAATGTGCACACACACCAGGCAGAGCAGGGGGCTAAGTGTTCTCTGTTGTCGTTAAACAACCCTTTGTTTCCTTCTGACCCCACAGGGCCACAATCACTGTTTCCTGTCTACCACGCATGCACACTGGGCTCCTCTAGGCTTCCTGAGAGCCTTCAGCTGATGCATAATAAGAACTGAGACACGCCATGCAAGGTGGGGAATGGGGTGGGGATGAGTCTTCTTTCCGAGGAGAGAGGCAAGCAGGAAGCTGAGGATGAGAATGAAATGCCCCATGCTCGCAGGGGATGGCCAGGCCAGGTCCCCTCTCACCTGTACTGGTCATAAAGGTGATGACGGTACTGCTGATGCCCTCGTTGTCCCGGGAATAAACCCGCAACGTGTATGTCATCCCGGGATAGAGGTCTGTCAGCTGTATAGGCTGAGCCTGGGCCTTAACTGGGACAGTTTTTTTCGTATGGTTGCCTGGGGAACAGAAACCTCAATCAGCCTAGAGCCAGGCACCAGGAGCTGGAGAGCCAGTGCTTAGGTCCTGGTCACCTGTCAAAGGTAGAAAGTGTGGGGGAAGGGACCAGAGAACCGCGGGTCCAGTCCATCGTACAGACCGGGAGGTTTCCAGGCAGCCTCCCCAGACCTGTCCATGCAATACTAACTCTTTTAAACAGCCCTTCAGCTGGGGACACCGTTCCTTCTCCTGAAGTTCTCTTTCCTCACCAGTCTTCACACTAGACATATTATAACCTACTTCCTTACACTCTTAGCTTGTCAGCAGATGCTCTGTTGCCCTAGAAGCGACTGACTTTTCACATGGATTTGGCTGGTGAGGGCCAGAAAGCCAGTTAGCATCCCTCATGAAAACAAGATGAGCTGGGACTCTGACTCTTGGCTCTCATTCCTAGCTTCACCTCTCATTTCTCACCATGTGGTGAATTCCCACATCAGGAAAAGCGTGTGCCTGTGCATGTACGCTGTAGGGTGAATAGGGGTGGTAGGAGGCTGAAAAAGTATGGACAAAAGTATGGACCAAACTATGGAGTCCAGGTGCCGTGGATGTGAACTCCTCCTCCAACCACAGAGAACTAAGTCAGCTTTGCTCTCTCCTGAGAGCTCTTTGGGTAGGCTATCCCAGGTGGATTGGCTGGCTGGGTTAGTTGGCTTAATTGTTTAGAGCACATACTAAAGAGGCCAGGATGGTGGGTTTGACCCACAGGGTCCTTCACTCAGGGGCCACACTCTGCAGTCCAACGAATCTGTACCCTTGGTCCCAAGCTCCAGTAAAGGGTGAACAACTCAGCTCAAACCACCAGCTGGGACAAATGGCTCTGGTCTGTGGCTCTGACTAGGGGCCGCTGGCATTCCTTTTGGAGCAAAGCAGGGTTGTAGCCCAAGTCTGTGAACTGGTCCACCCAGTCTAGTGGAGCCTGAATTAAGGAGATCAATTTGGCAGAGATTTGGCTCATTTGGGGGCTATTCAGAACCCTCATCCTGGGCAGGAAATGAATGAAGGACCCCTTTACACAGGTCCTCCACAGACATGCAACCCTAGACTTCCACTAATGGCTTGAGAAGCCCCCTTCCTTCTCCTTGAGTCTGTTCCTCCCACCTCTCTGCTGCCTGAGTGCATATCGATTTCATTAAGCCATAATTAAGCCAGGCTAAAAGGCCTCTCTGAGCCTGGGGGAGTTCACAGGATCTCTTTAATGGCATCTACCGCTACCCGCCGCTGCTGCCGACGCCGCTGCCGCCACCACCACCCCGCACAGCAATGCTTACTGTCGATGTACTCAACCACAAAGTCAGTTCCGGGCCCGAAATTGTGCTTCCAGGTGATGTTGGCCCATTTACTGTTGGGGAGCACCGTGACGTTCCATATGGACTGCTCATCGGGGGCTGGTGGACGGGTTAGAAGAGGAGTTAGTGATGAGGAGGGAGTGGCACCAGAGACATGGAGACACACACATACACACAAGCGTGTGCATGCACGCACATGCCCACGCTCGCGCACGCACACACGTACACACAGTCATCTAGGAAAGGGGAGAGTCAGAAATGGCTGTGCACAGGGCCTGACAGAGCTCCAAGCTGCAGCCTTGGTGGCCAGGCCAGAGGTCACTGTCCAGGGACAAGCAGGTGCAGTCGGGAGGACTTCTGAGGGAGAGCTGGAAACTGACTGTGTCCACATAGGTAGGGTTAGAAATGAAAGAGTGTTTTTTTTTGTTTTTGTTTTTTGTTTTTTGAGACGGAGTATTGTTCTGTTGCCCAAGCTGGAGTACAGTGGCGTGATTTCGACTCACTGCAACCTCCACCTCCCAGGTTCAAGCGATTCTCCTGCCTCAGCCTCCCAAGTAGCTGAGATTACAGGCGCCCGCCACCACACCCGGCTAATTTTTGTAGAAAGAGTGGGTTTTGATCTGTGCCATTTGAGGCTCTAACCTGGACTTATTCCCTTTTCAGATCCCTTGTCATGTCAACAGTGTAAGGAAAGGGCCCAGGAAAAAGGCCGTGTGTCCAGGAGCAGGAGGCCACACAGAGGAGATGTGTGCCAGCCCCCTGCCCTTCAAGCAGAGAAGTGCTGCAGGAAGGAGAGGGTTATCTTTAAGAGCCAAGAGTCTTGATGAAATTTGCAGGAAGGACGTACTTTTGAAGCTGGAGGAGAATGGTGATCCAGACAGGTGAGGCTGGTCTAGGGAGCCTCTTGGGTTGTTCTTGGTCAGAGAGAGCCTGACTGATGTGTCTAACAGCCTCAGATTGTCTAAAGCCTAGAATCTCAGGGGCCCGAGAAAGGCAGTGTGAACGCTTCCTCTCCCTCGCGTGAACTAGGTGGGACCAAGAGAAGATAACTCCTTGACAACCAGCCCTCAGTGGTCCAGATACCAAAGAATCCTGTTCTGTTGGCTTCTCAGCACCACCAAGTTTTTGATGCCTGATCTCTATGCAACACAGAGGACATTAATTATCAAGTTCTTATGAGCTGGGAGCCACTTTATCAAAGCCGTGGTGCTGTCTGAAACCATAGCCTGTGTACAGGAGAAGGGCACTAATCTTCACACATAATCATTTTTCAAGAGTCCCAGCAGTCTGGTTACCCCATTTTCCAGCAAAGATTTAATAGTGGAGTACTCACATGAAGCCTTGTATTTCAAAGACTTTACAAGTGTGGCTCCTGTATATTTTATTAGCATGCAAGGGGGCACTGTCACCAACTCACTTGTCAAAAATAAATGAATAGAGTACATTGGTGATGCATTTATTCATTATCTATTTGACGTGTGACTGAGCCTGCAGGGCTGGGGAAGTGATAAAAGATCTCCTGGTTTTCACTTCAAAGAGGTGCCTTCTGCACTACAACCTTGTCAGGCGTTGGTTGCCCCAGGTGGATATGATTCATATTAAGTGAGGGGCCAAGAAAGTGATTCCATTGATGGCACCATGGGGAGGGCAGAAGGTAGGCTTCCTTGCCTGTCTGCCAGATGCTTCAATTGTACTGGCCGCTTGAAGCCATCCCAAATTCTAGCTCCTTAGAATTTCATGGCTTTTGCTGGTGAGAATGAATTGTGATTAGTCATGATTTGGGGACTTGAGTTTCCTTCTCCTCAGCTCTAAGCCCTGTAAATAGCTAGAGAATTTGTGTTTAAACAGTTTGGTCACCAATATGAAATTGACTCAAATCTGGCTGTTTTAATGGCAATGAAGATTGGGGTTCTTTTAGAAAAGGCTAGGCAATGGGAAGCCAAGATGATTTAGAAGTGGGAGCTGGAGGAAGGCATTGCCACAGAGAGATCAGGATCATGACCCGGAAGCACTAAAAAGTTCAAAGAGAAGGACCAAGCATGTGAGATATCAACACCTAGAAACACAAAAAGGGTCAGGGAGGGGAAGCATGGATTGTCTCACTGACTCCTGGAATGTAAGAATTAGGGAATCTCCCTTGAAATCTGAAAAAGACAGGCTAAGGACAAATAAAAAGGCCTATTTCACCCTCAGAAGAGTAAACTTATGAAACACGTTTTCCCAAGATGTAAGGCACGAAAAAGGTAAACACTCATTTTTAAAGTCCTAGACAGCCATTCTGCTACATTAAGCAAGTGAGGATGGTTGAGGAGTGTTCCCAAGGTCTAGATAAGATCAAGGCCATGGCCAGGTCCTCTGCAGTGTCTCACAGAACTTGATGAGTGCTGCGGGGGCTGGTCCTACGTGGCAACAAGGCCTATATTTCAGAAGGCAAGTAACTCTTTGCTGGGGAGCAAGAGCCACTTCCTTTCTTCATTTTTGATTCATCTTTTCTCAGAACTCAAAGCACTTGTAGGACAAAGAGCCCCACTTCAATGAAAAAGATGCCTCGCCATGGCCCCAAAGGACATCAGTCACCAACCCGCTGGTGGCAGCTTCTAATACCCCAGCAGGTTCCTCTTCAGCCAACTTTTTCCTAAAGTGCCTGTTAACTTCTAGATGGCACCTGTCAAGCAAACCAGCATTTTCAGGGTCTCAGGAGCTCATGGCAGCTGTGCCTCTCATCTGCCCTGACAGCTCACTTAACTCCATGTCATTGAGCTAAAAACAAAATCCTCTCATGTCTATTAAGCCTCCATCCTCATTCAGGAGGCCGAGAAAAGTGGAGCAGGATGGGAGAAAGGAGGCCTTGGAAGGTAAAGGGACTTGCCCAGGAGACAAAGGGGTGCCCACTGGGGCCTACAATTCTACAACTGCGGGAGAAGAGTTCTGGATGCTTCCTGCCAGCCCTGCTGGCTGCCTCACACTGATTTTAGAGCTGGCCTGTGGGCTCAGGAAGCTACAGACCTTCCCCTTGTTGGTAATAAAAGACTGATGCTCAGTGCTTGGAAGCATCGCTGAATTCCCCTGGGGTCTCCCCGAACTGGAAGTACAGAGCTTCCTGGCCTAGTTGCATGATACAGGAACAGTGCATTCTCCTGGCTCAGTATACCAGCCCTGGGATCGATTCTTACCAGGGGCCCTGAGAATGCCCGTAATTTTCCCTCCATGCCTGCATTTGAGGGCTTGGGGAACGTGAGTGGGCATTAAGGGACTCCTTGGCAATACAGTTTCCTGGAAGCTCTGACTTTGTAAAAGAAAAGTCTGTTAAGTGTTCCTTGTGGGAGGAGAGGCAAGGACAGACCAGGGGTTCTGGGAACAGAGCTGCCTGGCACAGCCACTCCCTGCTGCTCAGCCTCTAGGCCAGATGCAGATGTGGCCAGGGCAGGAAACTCCCTCAGGCCAGTCGTGCAGTGGCTGGTCCTTTTCCCCTCCTCACACAGTCTTCCTTCCAGAGTGCTCGGCCCTGAGCTGACTGCCTGACACGTAGCTGGAGGCAGTCCTGACATCTGGAACCTGGGGGCCCTGCCCAGGGAACTTGGCCATCTGTTAAGGAACAGGGATCTGAGGCTAGAATGGGGGGTACTGAGTGGTGGAGGACCACCCACGGAGTTTGTGTGTGTCAGGGCCAGGCTGGGGGAGATCTGGACCTCCAGGCTATGGGACTGAGCATCTAGTCACGGGTGAGTTTCCAAAGGAAACACAAAAGGAGGTGGTGGTAAACACCATCCCAGACCCCACCTCCTAGCTGGGGGAGCCTGTGGGTTCGTCTGGAGACCACTGGGGAGGCGGGCCAGGAGGGGATGGGGAGCATGGGCGATGCGCAGTACCGGATTCGTGTATCTTAGTCCCGGAGGTGGTGGTGGGAGGACTCTCCGTGGTGGTGGTGGCAGCAGTGGCTGTAGTAGTTGTGGCGACGGTGGTGGTGGCGATGGTGGTAGGTGCGACAGTTGGGATGATGGGGACTGTTGTGGCTTCGGTGGTGGCAGCAATGGCAGTAGCATCGGTACTGCTCACAGCGCCCGTCGCACCCACGGTAGTCGGGGGCAATGTGGGAGGAGCTGAGAGGGAAATGTAAAACAGCCGAGTCTGGTTGGTTTGGCTGTGCCCAGCCTGGACACACGGCCCCCGCGTGCAAGGCAGGCAGCCCGGTGAGGAGATGGGGCTTAGTCATCAGGAGCCTCCCCAGGCATAACGGGCTGGGTCAGACAGGTCGCAGCAACAGAAGACACAACCATGGGAGAGGAAGAGAATGAAGCCCTGTGTGTGTTTCATTTTCTTCTCATGGTCTGCATGGCTTGAAGCACCCAGCATGCACCCAGCCAAGGATGCACGAGGATGAGACGGGAAAGGGGCACGCGCTGAATCGCTCAGACCCCAGGGATGGCATGGAGCCCTAGGCCAAACACTGGCCAGATGCCACCCAGACACAGGCCCAAGCAGCACCAGTTGGATCCAGCCCTGGAGCCCCAGCCTAGAGGTGGGCAGGCGGCGGGGCCCTGTCCAGCAGAGGCTTAGGGCGGCCTGCCATTCCCAACCATTCACTCCAAAATCACCCTTTGTCATGCCTGCGTGAGCCCAAACAGCCACCCGAACCTGATGACAGAGAGGGAACAGTCTCCGCTCTGCGCGGGCAAGCCTCGCACGGCGTTCTGCCTACCCTTGCCCTCCTCCAGTCTTGGCTCTCCTCAGTCATTCCTCTGCCTCTCCTCCCTCTCTTTCCCTTCTCTGCTCAATGATGGCCCTTCCTGCAACCACCCTAATCCAAAGTGACTTCTTATAACTGCCTTTCTCTCTAGGAAATTTGGGTGCAGGTACAAGTGCTTTCTGTTCACACGAGAACATGGGAAGAGGGAGCTAATGGAATGACAGTATGACCCACACTCAGCAGCACCACCTTCCCAGCCCACAGTAGACAGAGTCGTCCCAGGCACAGCGAGGCACATGCTGGACTTCTTTTCTGCATACATCTTCATGGGGCACAGAATCATTCAGATCTGGGCTAACCCTCTCATGACACCCATCTCCCACCCAAAGTGATCCTTGGATATTGGTCAGCTTGGGAGGTAAGCTTATGTATGTGACAACTTTTTCACAGGTCTTCTTTCCTGATACAGAAGGTCATGGAAAGGGCTGCCCTATCCTTCCCTGCAGATCTAATTTTTGCTAAAGCCGAGAGTATGAGAATAATGAGGCCAAGCAGAGAGAGACAGAGCCACCTCTCCTCCTTGCACTCGATCTCCTGTGATCTGACCGCAGTTCACTTTCTGGAGTTGATGCTAATGTGGCAGTAGGCAGGGACTTTAAAACAAAGGCAGCTAACTCTCACTCCCAAGGAATCCCACCCAGCCTCAGATCTCTCAGGAAAATCATATCCCCAAGAAAGGGGCTAGGGCAGGGAGGGATGCCAGAGAAAGAATTGCCAGAGAGCTTTTTAAAGGGAGAGTGAAGCGATCCTAAGCCTTCCCAGCCAGAGCCTGCCCAACAAAAGCCAGTTCATTCCCTTGGGTCTCCAATATTACAAGTCCTTCTTTGGAGAAGGAGGCAATACTCCTGCTTCCCTACTAATAAGATCAGAGGTACTACTGTGCCCCAAGGGTGCTGGCCACCCAAGTCACACTGGGCAGCTGACTATGCCCCATATGTTCCAGAGGTTCCTGGGCAAGTTCAAAGCTCACAATGCTATATTCCCCAAACCCTGGTCAACCCACAGACATCAGGGCGGTGTGGGGAGGGGTGAGCGGTGGGGCAACTCTCCCTCTCAGATTCTTTATTCAGGGCCATGCTCAGTCCAGGATGGCCTCAGGCCTGGAATACAAGCTTAGCACTATAAACACTCAACATGAGGCATTCACTTATCCCCACCCACCGACACGTGCGCGCGCGCGCACACACACACACACTGTGTACACATACATGGGAAAGCCTGAGAGACCCATGCGGCAAAGGTCAGTTCTCTCCCAGGCCTGTTCCCTGCAGCTCTCATGGCCATGGACACACATGGGCTCTTCCTGCTGCTCTGTGCTGCTGGGATGGACCTGGAGAAATTATTTGGTCTACTTGGGCAGGACTGCTCTGATTTTTTTTTTTTTTTTTAAATTGAGACAGGATCTTGCTCTGTTACCCAGGCTGGAGTGTAATGGTGTGATCATGGCTCATTGTAGCCTCGACCTCCCAGGCTCAAGCCATCCTCCCACCTCAGCCTCCCAAGCAGCTGGGACTATAGGTCCAGCTACAGGTCCACCATGCCTGGCTAATTTGTGTATTTTTTGTAGAGATGGGGTTTTGTCATGGAACCCAGGCTGGTCTTGAACTACCAGGCTCAAGCAATTCTCTGGCCTCAGCCTCCCAAAGTGCTGCACCTGCCAGAGTTCTTTATAAATAGTATGTTTTCTAATAATTTCTGACAAATCAAAGGCTCACAAGGTAGCCCTTCTCATGACTATCTAAAAGGCATCGTTGGAAAACACTCCCTTCAGGGGAGGTTGCAGTGAGCCAAGATCGCACCACCGCACTCTAGCCTGGGCAACAGAGCAAGACTCCGCCTCAAAAAAACAAAACAAAAAAGCAAACACTCCCTTTTAACCTGAATCATCACACTGCGTAGTGCAGGGGCCTGGGCTCCCTTCCTACAGGTGCAGTGGCTGCTACATTCCCCAGGCCCCAGAAACTAAGTCAATCTTCCCCAAAGCTTTACACTCTCTCATGTGGCCCCGTGGCCCTCAGACACACAGAGACACACACACACTCATACCCCAACACAGCCATAGCTGGGGGCACACGCTTCCCCCAGGATGTTTCAGTGAGTAGCTGGAGGACAGAGATGTCAGGAGAGCCCAGGTGACAGCATTTTCCTCACCAGCCCTGCTGGGCAGAGGCAAGGATGAGAGATGGCTCTGAAGATGTTTCTACACTGCATTGTCCCCTCGCCTGATGGCCACTTCGCCAAGTGTGGCAGAAAGGAAGCATTTTTCTCTGATGATGGCTACCTAGCTGCTTCCTCTCTGGCTCAGGCTTAGTAAGAGGGAGCAAGAGATGTCACAGAGAAAAGGGGTCACTTTCTGGCAGCCTCCCCAGGGCTCCCACCATCGAAGTTACCATAGAGGATACAACCTCAGCGGGCTGAGGTCACTGCTGGCACATCTCCGACCCACTCATTAGCTGTGTCTATTGTCCCAAGGCAGGACAGGGCCCCCAGGGAGCTAGGGAGGGTGGAGGAAAGAAGAAAAGCCTCTGAGGGAAGGTGCAGAAGAGCCAGGCAGTGAGCTGTCAGGAGGCTAGTACAGGTGGAACGAAGGGGCAAGTGTTCCATGGGGAAAAGCTTCTACGGCTCAGGTCCAAGGAGATTCAGATTATTTCATCCCCTGGGGCTGAGGTTGGGGAGAGAATAGAAAAGCGATGTTTTCAAAAGAAAACTAAGAAGTAGGGCTTACCAACAGAGTGGCACCAGGCTGGGAAGACATATGACTGGGCTAAGATGTCATTTCCTGCCACAATAGGAGCTACAGGTTTGGAAGCAATCCTGGCCAGTGCTCAGTGGAGACCATCAGCCTGGCGACCAAGGAGAAGGGGCAGCAGAGACCCTCTGTTAGCTAAGGGGGGATCCTGAGTGGGCTAGAGCTGGAAGCACAAGGCCCCTCCTAGACAGCAGCATCAACCTCACAGGTTTGTCACCTAATGCACACTGGAAGGCACCCTGGCCACAACCAAGGGTTTTCCAGGAGGGTTTCAGGGAGCACCATGCATGAGATGGAGAACACTGAGGAGAGATGACATGTGTCATTCATCTTTCTGTCCCAGAACCTGCCACGGAACAGGGCACCTATCAAGAGCCCACCAAACATCTGCAGACCTAAGCTGGGTCAAAGAAGAGGACAGCACTTCCTAGACATTCCAAGGTGAAAGGTTTAGTCCAAAAATGTCCACATGGCATGTTGACTACGCCGGCCAAATCACAGATTGTCAGACAGATGGGCAGCAATCCTAAGAGACTGCAGATACAGGTGGATGACAGGGATTATCTTCACTGGGTGAGAGATGAACAGAGCAGTTTGGGGAAACAGTGCCCAGGTTTGGAGAGGACGAGAGGGAAGACAGCAGTGGGCCGGACGCCAGGTCCACGTCAAAAACATGGAACCCGAGTTTTGTTGCTTGGCACCTGCTCATTGTGCAGAAGGTTCTTACGCATTTAAAGCTGAGAACAGCTGATGTTATCAGCACATCTCATTTCCCAAAAAGTGCAATCTGCCTCCACTGCCATGTCACGTGGAAGCCGGAGCCCAGGAAACATTTGATTGAGACCGTGAGCTCATGCTGCCTGAGTGTAGATCTTCTCTAAGTGGGAAGTAGGAAGCAGGGTGATTGCAAAGATACCTCTCACCCACTCAGTAGAGGGGCAGCACAGGCCAGCACAGATGCCCACTGAACAAGACAGACTGCCTGCCACCAGGCCCACCTGCCTTGGGTCCTAGGGTGCCAGAATGGGGGAGATGGACGGGGAGCTGCTTCTCCAATGAGCTTGCAGCTGATTCGCCTGATGCCCTCCCTGCGTTTCCTCTTCGTCATGGGAGAGACTTATGTAAACTTCAAGCAGGAAGTCAGGGAGGCCCCAGTGTGGCAAGGATGGCCCTCACCCTGGTCCCCAGGCTTAGGATCACCTCTCTGCCTCACATCTTCACAGGGGTGTTCAGACTTTGTGGGGAGGCACTGGGGTGGTGGTGATTGTGAGGACTGAGGGAGAGAGGGAAGGATGATGGCAGCTCACCATCCACAGATCTGACCACAAAACATACACAAACTGAAGGAAGCAGCTGTGCAACAGAAATAGAATCAACATAGGATGGGGGTGCGGATGAATAAGCAAAGGCGAGGAAGAAATCGAATTGGGCAAGGTGGCATCCCCTTCATAAGCCAACCCTCAGATTCCTGGCCCGGTCCTCAGTTCTCCCTCCACTGCCTGGCATGTAAGGAGGCTCTGGTGAGCGCTTGCTCGTAGCCTTTGCTCTGCCAGGGTGAATCCTGTTCTCATTTCCCATCTATGTAATTCAGGCTCAGAGGAGGGCCTGAAAAGGAACCCTGGGGTCCCCTGCCTCGTTTCTCCAGCCTGAGGACTGGCCTCCTGTGATGAAGAGCCCTTTGATGGCCCTCAAACCCATGACATGAGGACTAGAGAGGAGTAACTTGATTAGCAGGTCCTAAGCCCAGAGCTGCCCAGCACCTCAGTCCACTGTAGATCTACCTCCCACACCCCGAGAGTGGAGACTGTTCTTAATGCTAAAGACTTGGAAACGCTGGGTTTCTGAAGGGTGAGGAGATACTCAGCCCACAGTGCCTGCTGAGACTCCAGGAACTGGAGCACCTGGCCCTATCCATGGACGTGCTTGCTTGTTCTCACTGAGCAGAGCCCGTGGTGGCTGGCAGAGCCAGTGCCAGGCCCCCATGCAGCATGCAAAGCCGGCATGCACACCGCGCTCACCCTTTCAGGAGATGGCAGCCCCACCAGGAGCCAGCTGTCCCTGCTTCTGCTGCAGCACGCCTTCTAGAGCCACAGCTGGGGACACTGCTCTGAGCTGTCAAGTCCAGGCAAGGGCTCAGGTGGTTAACGGGAAGTAATCTACTCAGTGTCAGAATCAAACTGCAGCTCCAGAGAGCAGGTCAGGGCCGGTGTGTGTGGGACCCCTGCTGAGCCATTCTCTTTCTCAGCAGGGGGCAAATAGTTTGGGAAGGGGGGAAAGCGGGCTTGCTCTCCTCTGGTCCCATCCTCCACACACATCCCGCTTGACAATCTGGCTTCCCAGCCACTGAAAGGGTGAGTCTGGAGCATGCTTTCAGCCTCAGCCTCTCCCTCCTTGTCCACCCTGGCTGGGCTCCGCCTGCATTGCCCCATGCCATGCCCATTACCTCCGATGCTGGTACGGTACCTGCGGTTGGAGTAGCTTCAGAACACAGCGCCCAAGATGGCCAGACAGAGGGAGAAAGGATGGAAAAGGGAAGAGAAAACAGAGCACAAGTGAAACCACAGGACAAGCAAGCAGAGAAGGTTCCAGCCCAAACCTTATGCAGACGGCATGGCCAGGTGCTGGCTGCTGGCCTGAGGATGCCAACTGGTATTCAGGGTTCACGGTCAACTCCACCTGAGTCAGGCATGTTCCTACAGAAACCTTTCCACCTGGGCCTTGGAGACCTTTCTAACACGCTGTTTCTACCTCGACTCAAGGACTGGACATCTAAGAGGTGGCTGCAGAGACAGTCCACTCAGAGGATTATGTTCCCAGTTCTGTCCTCAATAGCATATCCTGCTCTGGCTAGGTTGGCATGACCTTTGAGCAGGCTGGGTGACCCTCCATGATGCCAGGGGTTGAGGGGATAAGGAGTAGGTGGTGTGGGAGGAAATCAACTCCAGTCAAAAGGATGGTTTCTGTCTTCAGGGGAAGATGCTGAATAGTGGGATGGATACGAGAGAGGGAGCGTGTTCAGCTGCACCCACTCCACACCATCGCAACCTTGGAAGGCAGGAACTTTGAAGGACGGAGCCTGGAGCCCCTCTCCTGGTATTCCGTCCCTCCAATTCTTCCCTTCCAGTTGGACTTTATGAAGTTAGAAACCCAAGTTTGGACTGAGAGCCCTAAGTGAAATTCTTGAATTTTCTGCAAAGCCCTAAGTTAAGAACAAAGTCTCTCTTTGTCCTCTTGTCCGCTGGGGCTGCAGAACATTCTCTGTGGTGGTTACTGGGGCTGGACAATGGGGCTTTGTTTATCTGATGTTCTGTATTGGGGTGCACATAGGGAGGGAAGAAGGGGCTCTCTTTATCTATCTACTTGCAGAATTGAGTAATCAAGAAAGTGCATCACAGCCTGGCCTGGCCTTTGGTAACAGACACACATCAGTCACTAACCTAAGTCCCCTTGCCCTAATAAATTTCCCGAGTGCCCAGGGGCTTGGGAGAGTGCAGAAGAGCACAGTGGCAGGGAGAGCTGGTTGTGTGACTCACTCCTGGTTTCTGAGCCCGGAGAGGGATGCAGAGAGGGCTGTCAGCCTTTCTCTGCTTCTGCCTGGCCCCTCTTCTCCCGCCTCAGCGCTGGTGTGCTGGCTAGAGTGGTGGGGCTGGGGAAGGATGTGGGCAACTTGTGAAGCTGCCTGGGAGCCCGGGGTGACGCAGCAGGCCTGGTAGCCCCAGAGAAGGCAGCACTGATGCTCTCCTGGAATGCAGGTGGGGGTGGCACTCAGGAGACCCCTGTCTGGGCCTGGGCCAGGCGGCGGGACCTGACCCTTCTGTGGAAAGCACTAGACACAATGACTTCTCAGATTCCAGGGTGCCCACTCACATCACCTCTTCTCTGGAGTTTTCCCATGAAGACTGAATCCCCCACTCTGCCCAGCCACTGCGCCCCCTCATTTAGACATGCAATTAGATATTCTTATAGATGGCTCCCCCTCTAGATGGTGTGAGCTTCTTATTACCTTTGTATATCCCTTGTGTGTGGCAGTGTCTGGCACCTCACATTGTGGGCGCTCAAGAAATGGCTGTTGAATTGACCGTTGTATCTCTGGAGACACACAGGGGTCCCCAGCCTTTCCTAGGTGGTGAGCCAGTATTGAGGTTTTTGCAGCCTTGCCTCCTCCGGAGGTCCCAGGTTGCACATTCCGCCTGACGCCAGCGTGTGTGCGGGTGAGCCTGGAGCCCCCTCTAGTGGAGTCCTCAGGCAGGTGCAGCTCCGGTGGCGGATGAAATGCTGCCAGATGACGCCTGGACCCAGGAGATGAAGAACTCATTTGCTCTTTGTGAAGCTGGCTTGGCAAACGGCTGTTTCCTAACTCCTCCTCCTCTCTGCAGCCTGACAACGCATCTGATTCAGGCTGCAAGGAGGGACCATATTCTCTGCTCTACTCACGATGCCAGTAAGCAGCGTCATCATGATGGTTTCCCTTACCTCCTTGAACCCATGTGCCTTCCAAGAAAGAAGGTTGTCCCCAGAGCCCTCATGGGGCACTCACAATCATATTCCTGCCTCCCTCAAGAGGTGAACACTCACTGTTCTTTGGAGTTCATTATGCTTTCTCTCATTTCTCAACTCATGCTCTCTTCCTTATTCCTCTACAAGAAGGAAAGATGATAGATGTCAAGTGACTCAGCAAGTCAGGGCAAGTGGGGACCCAGGTGTGATCACAGAGGTCCAAGGACAGCTGGCCTCCAGATCCAACACCAGCACCTACCTCTCACACATTAAGATGGGTTCTCACCTACCAAGGGCTTGAGGACTTGCAAGCCCCATTTCCTCTCCATCCCAGGCAGCCAGCTACTGACCTCAGTGTGTTTCTCTAGGCCTCTGAACTAGCCAGGACCTTTTACCCCAGGGGCTGCCGCCATGCACCTACCTTCATTCGGGGGTGCTGGTGACTCCTCCGTGACGGCTTCCCCAGAGCCCACCTGCGTCCTGGCGCTGAGGGTAAAGCGGTAGCGTGACACGGGGTCCGTTCTTTGCACCGTGAACTTGGTCTGATTGGGAGAGAAGTTTTCCACTATCTGCTTTCCTACTTTGGTCCCGTTAACTGGGGAGACAGAGGTAAGTGGAATTAAACTTTAGCAACGTTTATTGATGGGTTATATAATCTGCAAGCTGGAGGGAGAACACCTTCCTGACTTTGCTGGAAAGGGAAATGATAGCACCTGCCTGGTGATCTTAAAGGCTTGGTTCAAAGGCAGAGCGCTGGGCGAGAACTCCCTCTGGGCCCTTTGATTACACCCAGGGTTAATCCTTCTTCACTGATCCTGTTGTCTCTAGCTCACTGAAGAGTTATGTGGCTGATTCAGAAAGATTCCGTTTATATTCTTAAGCCCTTTCAACAAGGACAAAACTCTTCACTTTCTTTCTTCCTTTCAAACAGAACTAGGGCAACACCACTAGGCCTTTTGATTTTTAATGCCTCCTTTGTAAAATGCCTATTCAATGGACCTCAAAGGGTGAAAGGGTCTGGTCCAGAGATCAATGCCGAACAGCATACAAGCACACAGTTGGCTATTAAAATTGCTAACAACACATCATTTGGCTCTTTGAGTTTCCCAACGAGGTATGTTACCTACTTTTGAAGGCCTAACGTGTTTCAAATGTAATGGTACTCCTGTCCCTGCACGGTGATGCTGAGCTCTTGAGGTGGGGTCTTTCCAACCCAGGCTCCCAATTCGGGTCACCCTACAGTCACCAGGCAGCTTTACATGCAACTCCCTTATCATAAATGACACCTTGTCAAGGGGTGTCCTGACTGTCTGTGGACTCCTGTGAGTATACTGTCTATGCCATCAGGTGGAAGCTCCAGAGGCTGAGGAACTCTCTCTCCTAGACTCTGTACGTGTTGGAGACTACGAAAGATCCCTAAAGGCCATGGCTGTCTCCCTCATTAGACTGGAGTTCCCTTTGTCTCATCAGTGAGACTAGAAGCTCCCTGCAGGCAGAACTATGCAAGGAGAGCAGGGATTGAGTCCCACCTGCCTCCCCTAATCCTACTGGGAACTGTTTCATTGGTCCCTCCATCCCTCCACAATGCCATCTGCACCCACAGGCTTTCTACCTTGAGTACTTAGGAAAAGTGGTGAGAATGGGGTTTCTGGTTCCCAGATTATCTAAGAGAAAGGGAAGGGCAGAACGTACAGGCCACGTATTTGAGAGTGTATCCAGTCATGATCCCATTTGGATGCTCTGGATGATCCCATTCCAGGTTGATTGTCTCCAGGTTGGGCTGCCGGACTCGGAAACGCCTGGGGGCACTGGGTACTTGGGGAAGGAGGAGAGAGCAGGGGAGATGAGGGGGAGGGGGCAGGAAGGATGAGGAAAACACAAAAAAAACAAAGCACAAGTATGAAGGCATTGACCTCTGGACAACCCCCATGCTGGACACTGCTAAACTGAAGCCAGGGAGAACCATGAGACGACCGGAGCCCATTGCCCCATCCAGGATGCCATTTCCTCCAGGTCTGAAGACAAACATAGCTCAGACTCTGCTTTTTAAGAGAGGAAGAAGTAAATCAGGTTTTCTTCTAGCAACTACCGTGGATTAAGCACACATTAGGCTCTGATTCTGCAAAGACACCTCTAAATTGGGCAGAACCATTCCTTGGTAGAGAACCACTTACAGCTGTTTTGTACAGAGGCTGCAGTTCCCTATCATCAGACAAGGATTCTCATCACTGGGTCCAGGCAGCAGGCCCAGGCTTCTGAGCTGAGAATGTTGGGTTCAGGGTTAAGGAGACAGAAACCCAGGGTGGAACATTCAGAAGAGGTGGGAGGGCGGGAGTGTTAGGGAGAGGCCAATGATGAAAACCAAACCAAGGCAAGGGAAAGACAAGGATAAAGAGAACAAGAGGGAAGAACAGAGGACAGGAGGAAGAGAAGAGGAAAAATGGGGAAAATAAAAATTAAAGGAGGAGGGAGGAGAAATGGAGGAGGACGAAACAGATGCAAAGCAGATAAAAGAAGACTGGCAAGAACAGGGAAATGAACCAGGAACTTTGCAGTCATCTCTTAATTCATGAACTTGAATTTATGTGAAACAAAAAACAGGGGTTTTGACCCCAGGGCCTTGTGAAACCATGGGCCTGCAGAAGGCGGGGCTACACTTGGGTATCCCTCTGCAGAGCCACCGCACACACACACTGACTATCTCAGTGACAGCTTCTTGAGAACATGTGGGGAGAACCGTGAAGGCCTTGGGTGCTGGCAAACAAATCAGATGGCTCCTGGCAGTCAGGATGGACAGCTGCCTTCTGCCTCGGAAGGTGGTGGGGCAGCCCAGGCGCCCGCCGTGCCCTTGGGGATCAGTCTGCATAGTCCGTCTGGAATTATGTCAGCAGACCTCACAGGTCTTCTCTTGAGATACAACCTCCTGGCAGGGCAGGTCACCTTGGTGATGGTGCTCTGGGAATGGCTGTAGAGGCTCAGCTTGCAGGTCATCTGCCCCTGGAGGCCTCGAAGAAGTCGCCTTGTGCCATCCATGCCGAGCCACGCTGGAGTTTCTCCAGGCCCGAGGTGTGTGCCACCCTTCTCCTGCCCCACCCTGAAGAGCTGCAGGCCAGACCTACCTCCTTCCGGGGTGGTGAACTCCTTGGTCTCACTGCGAGGCCCATCACCTCTCCCATTGACCACAACCATCTCCAGCTTGTAGTTACTGTAGGGGAAGAGGCGGGACACCACGCCACGGAGGCGGTCACCAGGGAAGCTGGCTTGCTGTCTCTTCTGAGACACCCACAGGTTCTTCAGCAAGCTGCTCTCCCTCCAGTAGTAGGCCTTCGGGACAGAGGCAGGCTGGTGAGGGGTCAGGCAGGCAGGGCCGGGTTAGTTGTTAGTGGTGGTGGTAGTGACCGGTCTTTCCTTTGCTTGCTACAGCCTCCAAGTCCCAAATGACCTCATCAGTCCTATCCAGGCTGAGGAAGCAGCCTTTTAATCCCCACTCATCAGCCACTCATGAACATGAATTTATATTAAACAAGAAATAAGGGTTTTGGTTCCAATTATTTTCTGATCCATGCCACGTCTTTGGGGAAAGAGCAAGTTGGCCAAACTTACATCTGAGCTGCTCCATCATGAGACTGATTTCCAAGGTGGGTACCAGGTTGCTCAGGGAGTCCGTGCCAGAACCAAAAATAGTGAGCCAAGGGTCCAGGCATGGAAAGCTCCACTCTGTGCTCAAAGACCACATCACCTTGAATTGGATTAGTATAGTTTAGATTGACGGCAGGCAGCAGTTGAAAGGTAACAAGTTACCCCCGGAAGTCTGAACATGAGAAAGGTTGATTTAATCCTTTGAAGTAAAATGATTTCTTTTCATATTGTTGAAAGACCTTTAGGGATGAGACAGTCACATGTCCAAGTCAGTGGGATGCCAGGCTGCATGGTAGCAGAGCTTGGATGGGAAGGGACAGCTATGGAAGATGGTAGTGTTGGAGGGGACAGTGGAATGAGTTTGGGCAACATGAGGTCTTTAATTAGCAGTGGGTAAGAAGCCATAGGTCAGGTGGCCACGCCAGTGTCTCCCAGGCTGCCCGTGGCAAGGTAGGAAGGAGTCCAGACTTAGAGGGGGACCCATGGGGAGCTTTAGCCAGAAAAATCTCTAAGCAAGTAGGTTAAGGGTACAAGTCAACTGTGGGGAAGAGCTCATTCAAGTGTACACATCACATTGCCTTCTTTCCCCTACTGGCCAAATTCATTTCCCAGGAAGAGACTAGCCTCTCTTGCTCTGCCTCCAACTGTCCATCAGCCAACTCTTGATGGCCTCTGAGGCCACAGAACCTGCATTAATCACAGTTACTGCCTCCCTCCCTCACTTTCCAGCCAACTTTTAATTAGTGCTACTCAGAAGGGAGCGCCGTGTATACCCTGGGTGCTCTCTCTCTTCTTCCCATCTGAGCTCACCCTTTTGAAGAGGATGGACGATTGAGCAGAAACTGCTCTCAGGCAGGGAGAAGCCAAGGGCCTTGAAATTCCATATACTGGGTTATCTGGAGTTGGCTGCGACAACAGGGAGGGCATTTGCACGCTTTCAGTGGCTTTGCCTGTTAGTTGTGGCTTAGGAGATAAGGAGCCCAGTAGGGACCATTGGGATAGGGGAGGGGTGTAGCTCAGCGGTGCCTCAACACTGCTCTGAAGATACATTTTTGCCCACTCATGCATGTATTCCAAACGCAATGTGCTACGCAACACCAACCCAAACCCACCGCCTTTCACGTGATTTTCTGCTGAGCAGAATCTCTCAGCATATCTGCTGGACACATCTGTGTGTGTGTGTGTATATATATATTATACATATATAATATATATAATATACAACTTTTAAAATTTAAATTTAGTGGGTTTTAATTTTAAATCCAGATGTGTGTGTATATAAAATATATCATGTATATAATTTTTTTTTCTAGGTATATTTTTGAACATCTAACTCTAGACATTATCTTTTTAAGTCAACCTTGGATTCAATAAATATCCCTAAGATTTCTTTCAAATACCTTATGCCCCGCATTTGCTACCCCTGGCCCTGGTTAGTGAGCTGGGTGGTTAGGTGAGTCCAGAGCTGGCTTCCTCACTCGGTACTCTCTGAGCTGGCCCTGGACCGTGTCGGGGTAGACGCGGTTCCACTGAAGGCTGATGGCTGTGCTGTTCATGACTCGGACTTTAACTTCAGTGGGCGCAGCCCTGGGATCTGCAATGTGTCGGGATAGAGAGTTGGTTATACAGGCAGGACTCTAGGGTTGCTTCTGACTTTTTCTCTGCTGGCCTGGACCTGCACTCCACTCAACACTGAGCATTCCATGAGGGCAGGGGCCACGTCTCCTCCATCAGACAGTACTTGAAAAGGTGGTGGGGAAGGCTCAGGACAAAAGGGTGGCAGTCCAGGTGGAAGCGACTCTGCCTACATGTTTAGAGGGCAGTCATTTGCCCCCTCCTGTGCTGGGTAGTTTCCATCTGCCCCTTCATTTCATCCTCCACCCTTCTTCACCCTGCTCCGTGTCCTGGGAGGTTGCCCTCGCTGGACCTTATCAGTGGGGCTCCCATGTTCTCAGGCTGCCAGATGGGTTTAACCAATAGCAGGTGCCAACAGGAGGCCCCAGGGCAGGAGGAGAGGAAGGGTGGGTACCAATTCCCCTGGGTTCCTCTTTCCTGGGCTACAGGTTGACAGCCTTGTACTCTTCTACCTAAGGCCATGGCTCCTGAGGGTGGTCCTTGCAGGCTGTGGACTCATCTATCCCCGTCCATGGAGGCTCAGAGTGGTATAATGGCTTCCTACTGCTGCCAGCCTTTAAGGTGGATCACATATCTTGCCATTTTCCCTCTAACTCTGTCCACACGTGATAAATAGTACCTGCTGAGAGTGCATCTGTTTCCTGGCAGGAAACATTACCCACAGGTTGAAGATGCCCTAATCTAGTTCAGGAAGTGATTCTGACCCTGCGACTACCTGGAAAGGGAAGCCCTCTCCCTCCCCTATAACTGATTCTTGTCCCTGTTTTCTCCACTCTGCCGCAAAAGCAGCTCTGCCTCGTCCCCTCTAATCCATCAGAGCATGGGCTGCAGGGTAGGAGCATGCAATGGAAACTGTGGGCTGGTCCATGGAATCCATGACCAGATGCCACCCTTTCTGCACTTACCATCCAGTAGTACCACTGGGCTCCTGTCTGAAGTGCCCGCCACCATGGAGGTGAGGAGTGGGATGGACAGAGGACCTGCTGACCCTCTTTGCTGATCTCCCTTGTGAGTCCAATCCATAATCACCTCTGGGAAAGTGGGGCCCAGGGCCCACCCCTGCCTTCTTCCATCTCACTGTTAGGAACGCCACGGACCCTACTCTTGACGGCTCCTTCTAAATTCCCCCCACCCAAGACTGTCCCTCCCCACTTCCTTCTGCCCACTCCATCCACCTACATGATCTCTTCTTCCATCAGACCCAGACCCAACAGGGCGCAAAGGCCCTCAGCCAGGAGGGGACTCCCTGACATCCCTGCTTTGTTTAGCAGCCTACGGGACTGATGTGCTGGGGACAGCGAGGCCACCATCGTCTGGGAAGCCAGGCATATTATATCCCTGTATATGACCAGAATCTTGTTGTTTTACCAGGGGCCAGCCCCCAAAGACCTTCTCTTTCTGTGCTCAGTTCCCAGGGCTGGGAGCCGCAGCGGGAGCACCAGCAGGGGCTGGTTGGGGCGCTCCTGTCTGGTGCTGAGGAGGCCTCCCAATCCCTCAAGGCTTCCCTGGGGGAACCTCTGGCCTGCTGCCCTGCTTCCTGTGGAGTTGTCTAATCATACCTCTTTAGGATGGGTAGTCTTGACGTTTTTCTTGGTACTAGCATGGCTCAGCAGTAAGGCACACTGCTCGGAAGACCTGAGCTCTGTTCTCAAGACAGACGTTGACGACTATGGAACACTGCTGAGGGTTTTCCCTTTTCTGGGCCTCAGTTTTCACATCTGTGAAATGACAGCTCTGGACTGGGTGATGACATTCAATAATTCCAACTATGTTCGGATGATGATATTTCCACGCCTGACATGACTGGGTGCCTGTCTGCTCTAGGTCACTACAGGACATTTCTCCTTCCTGAGAACTGGCTATCTTCCCATACCCACCCCAGGTTTCTTGGCCTGTCAGCATGGCCTCGTGCGACCTAGCCACAAGGGTCCTGGCAGGGGGATGGGGAGGAGACTACTCACAATCTTCTCCGGAGTAACCGATGACAGATTCTGGCTCCGGACCCTTCCCGAAGTCATTTTCAGCCTGGACTCGGATCTCATAAGGTACGTAGACCGGGGTCTGCCCCACCACGTAGCGAGAACCCCACACTGTGACGTTGTTCCAGGCCTCTCGAGTCTCTCTCCGCCTCCACTTGACAATGTAGCGTAGGTTGGGGCCAAAGGCTGAGGTGGCATTCATGGGCTGGGCAGAGGGACAGACAGGCTGGGGAGGCTGCCGGAGAGGGGCCCAGATCCACCCACAGCTTGCCCTCTCTTGCTGTGCCAGGCATCCCTTCCAGATATGCCCAACACTGGCCCGCCCCCTTGCAGGGTAGGGGAGACCACATCCCCCATCCCAGTGAGTCCCCCAAAAGGTGAAGGTCCTGTGAACCCAGCAGCATGCAGATTTTCTGTGACAAAGGCTTCACCTGAGACCCAGTTACTCTGACTCTGAGAGCCACCCACATTTGCAGGTGCAAAGGTTTTATTTTCAACAAAACTCCTTCCTGTGACAGGAGCAACAATAAATCAAAATATAGACAATAAGGTAAACTTCTCCAAAGTCAGAAGAAATGAGTTGTGATTAACCACAGCATGGCTCCTGCTAATGAACTCAAAATTCCAGAATGAACTTTAGTTCTACCAAATTTCTGTGCGTCTGTCCTGTCCTTCCCAAGAGGTCAGAGTTCTTTAAGCATGAGTGTGATTCTGCTCTTTATTTTCTAAGGGCCTGTCCCAGGAGTCAGTCCCCTGGGAGCCTGCTATACAGAGCCATAGACCAGGGTCCTGCATCTGGGCTCAGTCCAGCTGCTGTTGCCCTGTTTGGCCAAGGCTGCCGTGGAAGCAGCCTTCAGAAAGACAGGGAAGGTCATGATCCCAAACACTGCATCTCCCTGTTTCCATTACTTGTGGCAGAAGTTCAGAAATGTTAATATTTCAGTGGCTGTGTATGCATTCTCAGACTGGGAAGTGGTTTGGGAAAAAAGTCGTTTTGAGACCACATACTCCAACTTCGGTTTGGAAAATGTAGTCAGTGAGCCAGCATAAAGATGGGATTTTATAAGACCTGAGGGAGTCTTTGGAATGACCTAGTCCATTCTCTGACCAAAAGAAAGCCTGTACTGGACACATCTCAGATGTTGGTCTCTCCCCAGCTCCCACAAATCTCCAGTGAAAGGGCCTTAGAACACACCAAAACTTGGTTTGGTGTTGTGCTTAGATGTTTTCTAAAGTCTAACCCCAGTCCCCCCTCCTTCAAGAGAAGTCCGCTTGATTTTGCTGCATCCTCTAGGCGTTTGGCTAGACTGGCAGTCGGTGGACCCTGGTCCCCTCTGCTCTCGTCTCCTCTCTGAAATCTTATGCTTAGACATTTGTCCTGTTTGGTTTCTGGATGCCCAACTCAGACAGGAGCTTGGTTTCTCAAAGAAGAATGGCCACCAAGACCAGCCAGAGAGTCTGAACTGCATCGTGGCCTCGTAGTGTTGGGGCATCAAGGCAGAGGGGCTCCTGGTGCCTGCGGCAAGGGGAGCTGCTCCATCGGGGCTGGGAGGGCCTCTTACCGTCCACGTGATCTCCATGTTGTTCTTTCTGGTCCCCTCTCCCTTCACGTCACCAGGATTGGACTCGGGGGCTGGAACCCAAATGGACACAGGTTCAAGTCCAATTTGTGCCTTACCAGGGCAAGGTAAGGAACCTTCCTCCGTCCCACCTGATGGGTCTGTTCTACGCTCCGAGTTTCTTCAGCATCTATGTACACGCTGGGTCTGGTGTGTAAATGAACTTACTCTGTGCATGATGTGCCTTCTGAGCTGAGATTTAAACTCCCAGAGCAGGGCTAATTTCTTGTGAATTTTAATCCTCTACCAGACAGCATTTATCATAAGGCTTTCCACACTGTGGGTGGTCAGTAAGCCAACTCAGTGTGGATTAGCTCCTTTGTGGATTATCCACTAAATGTGTTTCATACCAGACTGACTTATCCCTGGCATTTAACATTTTTTTGGGGGGCAGCATCTCCACCCTCTATGAGCTGGTGTGATTTCAGAAATCCAAATACTACCCAAGAGTGTTAGGAAAAGAAATCTGATGTAATACCAATTTATATATTTCTCACACTGAATTATGTATTTCTGCTGTACCTCTTTGCCATAGCTCTCCCCTTTAAAGCAGATAATCAAGAATTACTAATAATAAAACTGGAAGTTAGCATTTATCATGTGCTTACTACATGCCAGGCATCATGGTAAGGGCCTGAAACACATTCTCACATGTTCACAACAGCTCTGTGATGTAGGTGTTAGTACTCTCTGCTTTACAGATGAGGAGGCCGGGCCTTGGAGAAGTCACCTAAGCTCACATGGCTGGGGATGGGGGGAACTCAGTGTGAGTTTGGGGTGCGGAGTTTCGGAGCCTTCTCTGGCAGCCCTGGGGTACTCACGTGCTCCACTGGTTCGGTAGCGCTCGGACGGGAGGCTGGGGTGGCTGCTCCCAACCTCGTTGACGGCAATGACACGGAACTGGTAGTTGACATACGGGGACAGCCGGAGGACGGCTGAGTTAACGCTGCCGGGGTACTTGGAATGGTCATGCCAGACCCCGGGTTGGAACTGGTCTTCTTCAAACTGGACAACGTAGTCTGAGTGGGCAAGGAAAACAGAGCTGTTTCGGGAGCTCAGTTAGGAGTGGTCTTCTTTAAAAGCACTTCCTCCTTGGCTTCCGTTGATCTTTATAATCTCTCTCACACAAAGGCACAGGGAGAATTCTTCCCAAGGCTCAGGAAGAGACACCAAGGCCTCTGTACATTCTGAGGATAGCCCAGGGCACACATCAAGTGAGGCAGAAGTGGGACTGGAAACCAGGAAAGGCCTTCGGTTTAAGGGTGTTACCATCCCTCTTTTCCAGCTTTGGAGCACAGGGCCCCTGAGCTACCTGTGATGGGGCTGTTGTTATCGTCCCCAGGGATCCAGGTCAGCCGCACGCTCCTCTCGGCCAGGTCGGTCAGCTCCAGGTCCCGGGGCCGGTCTGGCCGTCCTGGTGGCAGAAGAAGACACCACGAAGGGCTCCTGAGTTAGAGCGGGTCCACCCTTGTGACGGCCCTAGCCCTGGACAGCTCCCTGATGGGTTTAGGTCTTCGCCACCAGCCGGATCCAACCCCAGCCTGCCCTGAGGGGTGAACACAGGGACCACTCCCTTCCCACAGGGGCCCAAGGAAAAACAAAGAGGAGACTCCTGAAATCCCAGCCCCCCAAAAGAATATCAATGGGTGTGGAACAAGGAATAAAGGGGATTATGCAGGGCACAGAGAGAACTGGGACCAATGCCATCCCATCTCGGTGGATCTTCTGAGAGTGCAAGCATTCAGGAATGCCACCCATCATCAGACCCACGCTCACAGCACTTAGGAAGGCTGATGAGGGAGTGTGGGATTCTGTCCCATTTTCTCACAATAATTGGCCTCTACTCTGTGTGCCAACGCTCTGAGTAGATGGGAGCCCAGGAGAGGGCTTAGCCTGCTGAACAGGGCAGATGGGTTAGAGGAGTGGGGGCGACAAAAGAGGGGGGACCAGACCAGGGAGGAGATGGAGACTTGGTCTCGGAATTTCCCTGATGGACAGCAGGACAGAGGGGCCCAGCAGGTTTGCAAACAGGGGTGAGGGCAGCACCTTTTTAGGGGCACGAATCTCACTGGGACTGCTTTAGTGGGTTTAAGTGCCATCCTGGCCTGGGATAAAGACATCCGGTGACTGAGTGGTAGGGGTAGGCAAGATTTTCTCTCCATCTTGACTCCCTGAACCAGATTTCCATCTTTCAGATGGTCACTATAAGGACCTGGAAGGCAAGTCCCACAGGCCCATGTTCGTGCGTGTGTGGCATGTGTGCGTAGATTATAAATGGATAGAAAGCAGCAGATGCAGGGAGGCTGAACAACGAGTTTCCAGGTGATGTGAAGGGAGCAGGGTTTCGCATTCCCTGCAAACAGGACCTGAAAGACTGCTGGGAGGACAGGCCACCCTGAGGGAGCAGTGAGTGTGGCTGGAGGCAAGGGATGGGGTGAAACAGCAGCTGAGAACTTCCGAGCTCACCCTGTAGGGAGCAGGAAGCCCAGCATAGGGCTGTGCCCTGGGCTTGGGGATGTGGATGTGGGCAACTGAAAGGAGGTCCCATGTAGCCAGGAGTGCTGCCCACAAACCTATACACTGTCACCCTTTCCCAAAGCGGCTTCCTTCTCCCAGACTCCACACCCGGGGTGCCAAGAGAGGGCACTGGCAGGGGACTGTGATTAGTGGGAATTACCTTTGGGCAGGGCAGCCAAACGGTTAGTTGGAGTGGCCTGATCAGCTGCAAAGGTAAGACGGGTTATCCAGGTTAGCAGGTTATCCAGGGTTAAAGGTGTTCTAGAAGGATGGGGGTAGGCAGCTGAGGCTTAGACAGCTGCCCCTGGGCTGAGGTGTTCTAGGCAGGGCTTTCTCCGTCCTTCCATGGGGAATCCCCTACCCTTATAGAGGCCATCTGTGTTTCCTCCACATCTGGGGGTGGCACCTCTGTTTCCTTCCCATCCCAATGTGACTCTCGTGCCTGGGCCCACGCTCCCTGCAACTGTGCCTCTCCACTGCACCAACGCTAGTGGCAGTAGGGCACCCACAGGGAGGCAGAGGTGACAGAGGACCTGCTTCCCTGGAAGGGAGAGGCCTCCTTCCTCTTGGTTTGGGTTAGCTTAGTATTTACAGTCCAGCCTGGGTGCAGGCCAGGAAGACACGGCATCATCTTGCTCAGTGCATAGCACAAGATGAAATGCCACCAAAACCCAGGAATGGGGCGGGAGGGAAAGGAAGGCTGGCGGAGGTCATTGGAAGCACAAACACAAACTCAATCTTGCTTTAAGGATGGATTGTTCTAATTGACTTAGTGGTGGAGTTAGCTGTAACGAAGGTACAATGATCACAACAAGAAACCCTTCTTCACTTTCTCTGTATCACTCAGGTCCCTTTCAGTTGAGACATGGAGAAGTCACACTCCACTCAGGAGGTAACCTGTCCTGCACAGCTTGTTCTGAAACTGGCAGCTCCCTAACCCTGACATCAAAAGGCAAGAAGAGATCACCACGCCTGACCTGCCCTCTTGACTGCAGGCATTGCCCTCAGAACTGTCCTGGGCCACTGCTTCTCTGGCTGCTGGGGAGGGGGTGGGGCTGGTCAGTGCCAGGGTGAGCAACGGCAGTTACCTAGCACAGTGAGGTAGGCCTTGGCCAGGTCTTGGTCTAGCTCGGTGCTGGCAACACACGTGTAACTGCCCTGGTCCCGCTCTGCCACACCAAAGATGGTCAGGGAGTCATCTTCCTTCTTCATCCTACAAAGGTACCAAAGAAGGGTTCGGAGGAGAGGTTAGGGGAGTACTCAGGGCTGCCCACTGCTTTCTCCCCAGAGGGGGCTCTCGAGTCAGGAGGGCAAGGGAAGTTCCTTCTGGGGGATATAAGGCTCCCTCTCAATGCTTTGACAGAGGCCAGGTCTTCACGGTCACCTGGAGCATTCATCATACTTAATGGAGGGGAACAGAGAGTGAGTGGAGCTCAAGTGGCCGTGAATCACGTTTTTCACCTTCCAATGCCATACGTGTGCCTGCCCCTGTGCCTTTACTGTGCTGTGCCCCCCTCCCAGGTTAGGGCACCATGAGGCCCATGACCCCAAAGGCAGGTTGGTATTCCTTCTCTTCCCATACTTATAGCTTTCTCTGTCTTCAGCCCAGAGTTGTCTCCTCTGCACCCAGGCTCAGGCCAGCCTGACCCCTGGCTCCTCGGAACTGTCTCCCATAGAGAGGGGAGGCCGCAGAGCAGGATGGGGCTGTAGAGCTGTCAGCACCGAGTGCCAGAAGGTTTGCAGAGGGGGACACCCTCTGCAAAGAGTCAAATGATGGCTAGAAACCACTGGTACCATGTCCAACTGCAGGGCCCTGCACAACTTTGCTCCCCCGAGATGGAAGAAGGTAAAGCAAAGTGAGCCCTGGGGAGGGAGGCTTGGAACAGCGGTTCTCAACCCTGATGCACACTGGAACCCCCAGGGGGACTTCTAAACACCGCCAGTGTCCTAAGTCCTACCCTACACCAGTGAAATCAGGATCTGAGGAGAGGGGCAGGCATGGGTGTAGTAAAAGCATTCCAGTTTCAGTCTGAGAACTGAGAGCTGGCTCAGATCAACCCTGCCCTCTGCTGAAGATTAGGGGTACTGCAAATAGGGCTGAAAGGCTGGAGCCTGGGATGCAGAGGAGGAGCAAAAGAGACGACAAAAAGGAAAGGGAAAAGAGGAGGAGTGAGGGGAGAGAGGGAGAGGAGAAGTGAAGAGATTGAAAAAAGGGAGAGAGAGGAGGTGTAGGAGAGAGAAGCAGGGAGCTGGTGGGAGAGAGGGAGGTTGTGCAGGGTTGGGGAGGGGGTCTCCCCTGAAGTGGGGGAGTCGCCAAGGCCATCACCCCCTCTGCAGTAGCTCCTTGGTGACATGCATGACACGGGTTCCCTGTCCCTGTGTTCTTCCATGTGTCACCAACAGCAAGAAAAAGAAAATGTGCCTCAGACTAGCACTAGGAAGCGGGAAGGGAGGAAGAGAAACCTGTTTCCAATATAGAGCGGCTCGTCATCCTTCAGCCAGGAGACGGTGAGTTTCAGGGAGGGGTCATGCTTCACCCGACACTCCAGCTGCACCGTGGTGCCCCTTTTGGCCACCTGGTCCTCAGGCATCCGGTAGATCCTGGTGGGGTCTGTGGAGAAGCCCAGAGCACTCGCCACTGGCCTGTTCTCTGCCCAGCATCCCCATGCGGCCACACAGTGGCATATGCCTGCCCTCGAGGCCTCGGGCCAACTATGGAGCGGGGCACAAACAGAGTATGCTGTGGTATGAATGGAGCAGAGTTCTGGGTGGATAATCCCAAAAGCAGGTAATGCCCCAAATCCTCTCCATCTGGCTCAGGAATATATGATGTAATTTCTGGGGTGGTAGTGGGGAGTTGGTGTGAGCAGAAGGTTTCCCTTCCCTAATTCTCTTTGGACCACATGGATCCTAAATGGACTCCACAGGTGCACACTGGGGAGCCCATTCCAAGTTAAAGATAGGTGTGGTGCATTTTCAACGTGAATATTGCATGTGGATGACTGCGAGCAGGGCCTCCTCGCCCGTTTCCAAACTCCCACTGGCGAACCCTCTCCTTTACCTTTGACCTCCAGGCGGACTTGGTTTTCAGCTTTGCCCAGGATGTTGGTGGCGACACAGGTGTAGATGCCCTGGTCCTCTTTGCGGATCATCTTAATTTCCAGACTGCCATTCTCATAAACATGGTAGTTGCCACCATCCAGGTTGCTTCCTTGCCCATTCTTAAACCTCACAACAGAGCAGCAGAACACACAGCATCCTGAGACAGGACCAGCCCAAGGGCAGGGGCAGGGGCAGCAGCCAATCAAGAGAGACCGTGGGGGCTGTGGAAGGAGCCCCATGCTAGGAGTCTGGAGCCCTGAGCCTCAGAGGGTCTGCCTCTAACCACCAGGTGGCCCTGGCAAGCCTCCATCCCTCTCTAGGTCTCGATTTCCCATTCTGTACAATGAGGGGGTTGATCCAGATGATCTGCCAACTTCCTCCCAGCTTTGACTCTTTAAGATTCCTAGGTCTTGCTGAACACCTACTATGGGCCAGATGGGAAGGAGAAGATGAGACAAGTGACTCCTGCTGTGGAAGGCCTGGTCCCCTGGAACTTACCATCGCAGAGTGGGGATGGGAGACCCAAAGAAAGGGCAGTCCAGCCGCGTCCGGTTGTAAAGAATCACTCGAATGAGCTGGTTCCGAGGCGACAGCATCCGAGGCGGGACATCTGAAATTCCCAGACAACCGATCTCGAGTACTGAGTCTAACTCTTCCATTTCTTCCCCCTCAGTCTCACCTCTGCATGCCTTCTACTTACAGCAGCTTCCCAAGCACTGAGGCACCTTCCCCTATCAAACTTCCCTCCTTCAGGAAGCCCCTAGGGATGAGGTGGGGAAGGAGAAGCTTACTCCTTCCTCTGCCCTCAACCTACCCTACATTGAAATCCAGCTTTTGCAAAGGGTCTCCCCAAATTATCCAGCAGGTTCTGTAGCTGCCCCACCACAGCCCTAAGGCATTTCCTAGCTACCCCTCCCACCACCCTCTCCCTGCCCAAGGGGTGCAGCAAATATACTCGGAACCATTTCCCACTGTGAGATCCAGCTGCAAACCCAGGGGAAGTCGACATGGATACAGCAAGGAGATGGGACAGTCCCACTCTATTTCATCAGGGGAGGGAGAAGACTAAGATGGACTGCTCTGATGGAATTAACTGTCTGCTTATCCAGCTTTGTGAATTTTAAGTCCTCCATCCCTCTTACAAAATTTTTCCCGTCTCCATGTTTCCACTCTCCACCATCTTCTTACCTCACCCAGCTTGGCCAATCCCCAGAGAAGAAAGTATGCCCCATGACATAACCAAGCCCGGGGGAGACTGCACAGTAGTGGGGAGGAGGGGGAGACAGGCTGCGAAGGGCACACTCACCCAGCACACTGACGAAGGCGTTGGCCAGCAGGTAGCCATGCTCGTTGGAGGTGTTGCACTGGTACACGGCCCTGCTGCTGATCTGGGTGTCCCGGAAGATGATGGTGTCTCCGGCCACCTCACGGTTTGGGTTCGGTGGTGCCGCTACAGACGAGAAAGAGATGTTCCTCATGAGAGATAGGAAGGGCAGGGTGAAGGGCACTTGGGGCTCTGGCCAGGGCTCCCAGGAACAACTGGGGTGCTGTGGGGAGCACCAGATGACAGGGCTTCTGGCCTCGCCACTGCTGGGCTGTGTGTGACCTTCAGCCCTTCTCTGAACCTGTGGGGTTTATTTCTAATCTAGTCTAGAGTATGGAATATGAATTCTTGTTCAACCTACATACCCATTGGGCAGGTGTGGTTGAAAGCATTAGCTTTGGAAACAGAAAGCAGTTTGGGTTCTAACCACATCACTTACTACCAGCATCACTCAATCTCTGTGAGCTTCAGTTTCCTTGTCTGCAGAATGGGAATAACAGATCACCTCTTGGGGTTTTTGTGAAGATAACCTGAGATTTTATGCATGTACAAAGTGATGAACAGAAGGTCTAACACATACTGTTATTACCATTTGAATCAAGTGTGCATATATTTAAATGTGTTTTGAAAAGGACAAAGCAATATACAATAGACAGAACCCACCACCCTCCCATCCTCTAAAGAGAGCATGCTCCAAACATTCACAAAGTTAAACCCATAAGCCAATGCCTCTTGAAAATGGCATGAGTCCTTATATTTGCCTAAGCTCACAGCTCCTCCCCAAAAATATGTCCTAAACTGAGAGAGGATATTCTTGCCCACAGTTCTAGTACTGCTGGCTTGGGATGCAGAGAGCAGAGGCTGGAGGGGCTAGGGGTCTTTGTTCTGCCCACACTTCACTCTGGGATCTGGGGTAAATCAACAAACCTTTCTGGGCCTCATTTCCTTCATCTGTAAGATGGGAAGAATCACTTCTACTTTCCCCTACTCTAAGGAAGGCTAAGATAAGAGAACAACGATGAGGTGTAAAACCAAACATTTTCTAGAAATGTAAAGAATTGCCACTTTTCTCATCTTTAACCACTAGAAAGTGACTTTCTTCCTAAGATTTCTGGACTAGCAAGCTGATGACTTAGCTTACAAAATGCATTCAAGATCACTCAGACCTGCAGGGGAAGTCAGCGGAGGATGCAGGAGTCGCCCTGCAGGCGCCACTCCACAGATAGCCAGTCTGAGCCCAGAACCGGGGAATCAGCAGATGGGAAAGGAAGACAAGGTTAGCATTCTTATCATCCATGCCCGGGTCACCAGTCAGTGAAAAGGGGCCAAGGAAGGCACTGCCAGCAACTTGTACATCTCCTTGCCTGGCAAATTCTCGTGCAACCAATTTTCCTCCCAGTCACTCCCCTTACATGTTCCCTGGGGAGAGTGACAGGTGACCTTTCCAGGGCTGAGGCTCAGTTGCAAGTCCTGGGCTGCCTTTATTGAATGGTGCTATAAAGTTTAGCACAATTGCCTGCCTTACCCCCAAAGTCCTATTAAGATGGAGAGAACTGCAGAAGGCAGGCAGTGTTCATATCTCTGCTTGTAGCTGGGGGAGTAACATTTACTGGGGATAACTAGGTTCAGTACTAGCTGGTGCAGTTGTATTGCAGACTCACGGCAACCCAGAGCTTCACCACTTCCTAGCCATGCGATTTTGAACAACTCACTGCACTGACGAGAACTTTATTTCCTCACCTTAAATGTTTGAGAGTAAGCAACAACAGGGGTGCAGCATCTAGCACAGAATGTGGCACACAATAAATATCTAAAAAGGTAAATTCTTACCCTCTCCTCTACCTATGTCCCCCCTTCTCCACTTGCTTCTACCAGCTGCTGTTCTTGAGTTAGATTCTGAGTTCTTGCCATCTACGTTTTCCCCATTTGGCTGACACCATTGTTTACATTTCCTCTGACCACTTAGAGAAAGTAAGGACAGGACATTTGGAAAAGTAAATGCAATCAGAGAGTCTATGACGTGAAAACTTGACCAAGGCCACTGATTATAAGGGGCCTTGGAGTCATCTACTCCATCCACCTGGGCAGGACTAAATGTCCCCAAAGTCTAAGCTTACTCAATAAACTGCACCTGTGCATCTGCTCTTCTGGGGCAGTTCTTCCTCATATCTAACCATAATATTTCACATCATTGTACAACCCTGCTTCTTCTTTTGCCCTCAGCAGAGAGTAGAACTTGAGTAACCAACAATGGGGTTACTGAACTCTCCTCTACCTTCCAAGCCCCAGAGCTGTCACTCAGAGCCCAACCCCCAAGAGATGCAGCCACAGTCCCCAGGTCATCAACTGGGCTTCTTCAGGGGAAGAAAGCAGAGATTTAAAAAACCCCAAGACAGCAGAAATCCCTTAAGCATGGGAATATGACCACAGAGTTCCAGGCTTCCTGTTCTGTAACACAAAGAGAGGGTAGGGTTCTCGGGATGTCCAAAAAGATGGGCAACTGAGAAGCAGCCACCAGTGGGCTTCTCTTTTCCTGAACTTCTAGTGTGACCAACGCTGGCACAGTGACAGGAATCTGAAGCCTTTGATAGGAGAGAGATGAGAGTCAGATAGGACAACAGCTCGCTACTTACATTGCAAAGGTTCCCCATTCACCATCCACTGGACAGTGGGTTTGGGGTTTCCGTTGGCTCGACACACCAGTCTCCCATCCTCGCCAGGAGCCAGGATAAGGTTCTTGGGTTCATCCAGCCAGTAGGGAGCAGCTGGAAGACAAGACAGGCACAGGCAGGGGAGTTAGATGGCATGGGACAGGCAGAAGAAACCAAGCAGTCTCCCTCTAGTGTGGCAGGAGCCCCTGAGTCCCAGCACCAGGCACTCACCACCTGCCCCAGGGCTTGTCCTCACAGGGATAACTTGGTCCAGCCTGTATCTGGCTGGCTTGGCTGCACAGATGCTGATCTGTCTATTTTGAGTTCACAGAACAATAGTTCTAAACTGGGGCTGCTCATTAGAATCCCCGGAAGAGCTTTTTTAAAAAAAGGGACACTAGGACCTGTCTCAGACCTACTAAATCAGAATCTTCACAGGAGGCCTGGGTGCAAATGCTTTTCGAGGTCACTAGTGTCTGCGGTGTGCATCCGATGGCTCCACCGCCAGGGAAGGTGGTAAAGCCGGCACCGTGCTGGTCCCTCTGGATCTGTGTTTTGCAAGATCAGACCCTTTAGGAAAAGTCTTATATTCATTCCTTTATGCACGGAACTTTGGTTAGAGTAGTTTTTTTTTTTTTTTAGATGGAGTCTCGCTCTGTCTCCCAGGCTGGAGTTCAGGGGCGCGATCTCAGCTCACTGCAACCTCCACCTCCCAGGTTCAAGCAATTCTCCTGCCTCAGTCTTCCGAGTAGTTGGGATTACAGGCACACCCTACCATGCCCAGCTAATTTTTGTAATTTTAGTAGAGATGGGGTTTCACCATGTTGGCCAGGATGGTCTTGATCTCCTGATCTCATGATCTGCCCGCCTCGGCCTCCCAAAGTGCTGGGATTACAGATGTGAGGCACCGCACCTGGCTAGAGCAGTTCTTAGCTGGCCACCTCATTCAATTGATTGGACAATTTTGTGAATATGTGGAAATGTGGGTTTTTCTGAGAAGTGAGCCTTTCAGATCAGATTCTTAAAGATCTTGATACCCAACCCCCACCCCCTAAAGTCTAAGAACTCCCTAATTTGTGTATGGTGCTGAAACCAAGGTCACAAGATCAATCGACCATGTGCTAAGAAAGTTCCTGTACTCTGGTCTCGGACATCATCATCTCAACCATCCGTGCAGTCCCAGGCCAAACAGTGACCAATGCAGCCTGCCACACATGGCTGGGACCCATGGCGACATGCGCTCTGGTGCCTGCAATCACTCAGGTGGGCCCTCTTTGCTTTGGGGGTTAGGAAGGGATTTTAAAAAATAATTTTGGCCATAAGCACTCCCCAGTTTTAAAAAGCAGCACAGCATCATGCACAGGTACACAGACAGCACGGGCTCACGCGACACATCACGAACGGGAATGCAAAACGAAAGGAAAAAAGAAGGCTCTGGGAATGATTCAAATGGGCCGTGGGAGGAAATTCACCTGCTGAGGGAGCGTTGGCACCAAGGAGAGTTGGGTGATGGTCAGGGTGGATCTCCTTCCCTTAATACCCTCTGCCCCATGCACGGGCATGCACACACCCTCTCACGTCCAGTGAGTGACACCATCCATAGCAGATCGCCATAGCCACTGGCCAGTGGGCTGGAAGTCTCCCCCACTCACTCTGTCCCCAACCACCCTCAGAGGGAGGGGTGGGCATGGTGTTCAGGGTTGGCAAAATAATCAGAATGAGAAATACACACAACGTACCCTTTACTCTCACCGAGATCGTGTGCCGGATGCTGCCCATCTTGTTGGAGGCCAGGCAGAAATATTCCCCGGAGTCTTCCTCAGAGACATTGGTGATACGCAGGGCCTTATTAAAGTTCTCAAACTTGGCCTTGTCAGATGGGAGGTCCCCACCTTTCTTGTACCATGCGATGTCTGGTGTTGGGCTAGGAGAGGCGCCAAGCAGGAAACAAAGAAGTTATCACTAAACATGGCCCTTCTCCTCTTCTATAGAGCTGGGGACACCCAGGTGGCCTAAAAGTATACTTGGGCCCAGGGGATGCATGTCCTCTAAGAGCTGATCTTTCCTGTACAGAGGAGGATGCTCAGCCACAGAGAACCTGAAGGTTTAGCTAACGTCCCGCGAGATTCTAACGCATATACGGGATGCCTAATCACCTTTCCTCATTATCCAAAACAGAGATGGCCAGAATGGGATGGAGATGACTATGGTTTGCAACACCCTGCTCACTAGGGCCTGTTTGCTTCTCTTTACGCTGTGCTACTGGTATGCACTAAATGTGGCATTAACAAGATCATGAACAAGCTCCCATCCCCATCCTCCTGGAGGGTGGCTAGAAGAGGGGCTGCAAACTGCACATACACCCCGGAGGCGATGCATTCCAGCAGGAGGTCCATGCCACGAAGCACCATCTGGCTGCTCGCAGTGCCCTGGGGATACATGAAGCTGGGTGTTCTTTCTGCAACTCCTCGGGCTGAAACAGGAGAGAACAAACTTCTGTGAGCCTCCTTCCAGAAGGCAGACCCCGCTAGGCCAATGCTGTCAGGCTAGAAAGAAATGGCATCACCGCCCCTGCCGGATCCTCCCAGCTGAAACCACCCCAAGGACTTGGGCCTCATTAAGTGAGGTGTGTTAGGAAGCTCAGGGCTCCTTAGCCCCACCAGCATGAGGGAGAGGAGCTCTAGGTTCTGAAAGGATCTGCCTGGAGGAGCCCAGCTTCCCTCAGGTTCAGGGAATCTCCCCTTCCCTGAAACGGGGAGGGGCTGTCTGAGCAGTGCGAGATCTACTCCCGAGCAGCTTGTGTTGGGATCCCAGAGGCCACTGTGTGGCCCCCAGAGCAGGCCATCTCAGCAGCGGTCCTTCTCCCCAGGCAGGGATCTGGAAGCAGAGAAGGCATGTACTGGGGCCACAGGACAGACAACCTGCTCTTTGGGACCCTGAAAACAAGGTGCTGGGATGGAGTCACAAAGCCTGCACAAACAATCAGAAATGCAGGGGGAGTTATTAATGGCTTAGCAAAGACATGGAGAGAATTAATGAGCAGAGATGACAGGAAATCACTCTGGGGCCAAGACCATTCTGCCTCCTCACTAATGACTTGGGAAGACGGCTAGGGAGGGAAATAGTAATTACACGTGAGTTGCTTGGGGAGCGGGTGAGAGAAAAGTGGCTGCCAAGTTGGAGGAGGTGATCTATAATTCAACTAGGCCGGAACAGTCATGGGTCTGAAATCAATGAGATTCATACTGGTCTTGAAGGCCAGGTGGCTCGCAGAGATTGGCATTTTCAGGATGGTTGTTTCTCTGTAGAAGGGTTGTGCCAGCATGGATCCACCCATGACAGAGTGAATCCCACCTTCCCCGAGCCTCACCTCTTCCCCCAGAGCTCTTCGTATAGCTCTAGGGGAATGGGTAAGATGGAAGGGAAAAGAATAAGAATTTTCCATCCGGAAACCCCAAGGCAAAAGGGAAACTGGAGGAAGTACGCCCTGGCCAAGGTGTACGATCATACACAAGAATGGCTAAAAACAAAAATAGAAGCTGAGTCCACCCATGGGTTTAACGGAGTCTTAGACTCAGCTGGACAAGGGAGAGGTGGAGGGAAGGCAGGGCTGCCAGGAGCTGGGAGGCCTCAGAGACGCCTGGGGTGAGGATGAAGACGGTTGTCCAGGGTTTAATGGGTGAATCAGTGCTGGTAGAGTGAGGACAGAGTGCGGGGGCACTTTATCCCCATGTAACTGGTGCTTCCTAAAGGAGCTTGCTGGGTTCGCTGGGGCCTGGCTGCACCAGTGGGGCTCCTGTTCTGGGGCACTCAACTCTCTCCCTTGGTACCAGTGGAGTGCAATTCATAGAGTTTGCTTCTATTTTATCTTTTTGTCAAAAGAAGAAAGGATGAAACATGTGCAGAGGGTAACTAGGCTGATGGTATAATACACAGTATACAGCAAATGCTCAACAAAGGTTTATGAGGGGAATGGATTGAAGGGGAAGAAGAGAACAAAAAATAAGGCAGCAATTTAACTCATATTATTTCTCTTTCTGTAGATGCCTCATCTGTCCCACCAGCACACACATTACAATAGTGACTACTGAAGGGGTTAATCCATTATGTGGTTAATTGGTTATCATCTATATCTATAACTCTTGTAGCATCCAATTCTCAGTACCAAGGAAGCCTGACACCAACAGCTTCCTCCCGCCCACCGTCACGGAATCACCAAAACAACCAAGACACAGGGGCACTATGAGGAAAGGAGATTCTAGGGCAGAAGGCTCTGTTGTCAGGTTGGTGAATCCGTCGAGAGCTGGGAACCCTGGGATTATGTGGAAGAGATCCCAGCTCAGTCATCATACTCCTTCCACACCGGGACGAAATCTGCAGAAACCAATCTGTGACCCTATGGACATTTAATTTACACCATAACATGTGACACCACGAGCACACACAACCCAGCAAAGCAATAATGACGGGAAGGAGGAAAATTTAGCACAGAGTCCCGCTGTGGGTGCCTTGACATGCTGTAACTGTCACTATAAAAAGGTTATAGCAATATTGCGTTTGTAGGATGTGGGCTAGCAACAATAGAATTATCCTAAAGAAAGAGAAGCTACTGGAAAAAAGCCAAAGTTCAAAAAAAGGGAAGAGCATCCTAAAAGCCAGAGGTCATAATCAGGGCCATCATTCAGTGAACGTTTGCTAGGGACCATGCACTGTGCTGACAGCTCCAACCACACCACCATTTATGCTTAATCCTCACAGCAAACCTGGAGGGTTGTATCCCCATTTTCAGCAGAGGCAACTGAGGCTCAGTGAAGTCAACAGACTTGCCCAAGGTTATAAGTTAGTTATGTTTTTGATTACGTGCCATTTAGCACCAAAAACTTGTGCTTTCCACCCACTCTACATTGCCTCTCTGTCTAAAGATGGGCATCCCACTTGTTCCTACTTCTGACAGTCAGCTTCAGGAATATCTTTCTTATTCAAACCAAAGAAAACTCAAGGGCAAAAGAGGTAAAGGAGAAAGATATTTTTGCCTTGGTGAGGTGCTCTGGTGAAACTCTTCCACTATGTTTTACTATTCTCACTATCTCAGCTAAGATCCCATCTCTCCTCAGTGGCTATAAAAAACTCAGGCCCAAGGTGGAGAAAAAGAAGCTGAGGAGGGAATTCAGCAGCTCTGAAGGCACCTCAGCTGGATTCTTAAAGGCATGGAAACTTGAAGAAGATTTGGGGGACACGATATCATTAAGGAATGAGATGGATGGCCCTAAAGGAAAGGTTATGAAGAAATACAGTCAATTGCAGCAGGAGGAACTCATATGAAAATTTAGGAAGGATAATATAGCTGGTGGCTTTGAGAGCCACTGTTCTCAAAGAGGGTGCCTAATTTCCTTCCCTGCAGAAGTAGAGACAGGAAAACTCTAAGACAACAGTGATTACTAGATGAAACTCTAAATGGTGGCAGATGACTGTCTCATCTTATCATGGGACACCCTCTTTCATCATGGAGGCAGGGGTCCCTGGAGAGTATTAGTTATTCGCCCTGATCTTCAGAGTGGGGTCTGCCCTAATGTCTGATCAAACTCAGAGTTCATACGCTAAAGCTCATATCTGTGTGGATTCAGGAAGAGCTTCCCTCACAGGCCCATTTGACTTCTTGCCCAGGGACAGCCAGTCCTCTCCTGCTCTCGTAAGCTGTGGCTCAGAGTGGGCTCATGGGTTTCTGGGGGAATATGGTCAGCGAGCAGACAACAGATGACAATGCCTTGATCATGCTGGCCTTAAAGGTCCAATGAAAAATGCCTCTTGATCATCTCTTTGGAGGAAACACCAAGACTGCTGACAATCTTACTTGCCCCCCTCTGTCAAGTGCTATGTGTTAACAGGACAAGATAGTTCAATGAATCAGACGTATCTGAGGACCTCTGCCAAAAACAGCTTTTAGGAGCATCTGGATCCTACATCCAGACCACTTTGCTGCTTTTGATTCTCAGAATTGAGAACCAGAGACTCATGGGGCCAGATTCTTGGCATCTCATCCACCTCTCTCACTCTAGGAATGGCTGACCAAACAACCCCAGAAGATAGGAAAAACTCTTTGTCTAGTAATATTTGATACCTTTCAGTGCCAGGAAATTTCTCCTGTAAGTCTAACCCAAATCCCATATGCCGTAGTTGGAACTTTTCTTCTTATGTAGTTCTCAGCATAGCTGAGGATCTGAACAGCTTTTGTCTCTCTGGTCTGCCCTACAATTTCTCCCTCTATGGTACTTTCTTCCTATAATTGCGCCTGCTTTTCTCCCCCTTGGCTTCTCTTTAAGTTCTCTGTGTCCTTCTTAATTTCAGAAACATAGAACAACTATCCAGGATACAGTCAACACTAAACCATTCCCTTTAAAACCAATAATGGGTAACATTTGTTAAGTATCGAGAATGTGCCCAACACATACTAGGAACCATAAGCACATTATCCTGTTTAATCTTCACAACAATCCTGTGAGACAGGTAATACATCCATTTGGCAGATGAGAACATTAAAGTTCTGAGACTAAATGACTTACCCAGCATCACTCAATGGTATGTCCCGGACCTTGGATTTAATTCAAGGCAGTCTACCTCAGAGCACACACTCTTAACCACCTCCTTAATCTCCTCACCTGGGTGAACCCTAAGTGGTAAGTTACAATCTCAGACCAGATTCTCCTGCCACTCAGCAGGTCAGGGGGCACCTGGCAACGTTCAGAGGATACCAATCCACTCTAGAAATCACTAAAACAAAATAGAAGTATGGGGTAGCCCTCCTGCTACAAAAGGGACATGCCATATTTCAGAGCCAAACAGATGCACTGGGCACTTTTCACCAAGTCTCTCTGTCCAGATGCCTGCACTCCAGAAAGAAGTCATCCTCCTTCCTTCCTTTTCCCTTTGATATCTTGCTAGAAGCATCAGCCTAGCTGCCTTGTGTTCAAAATATGTCTCCCTTTGACTTTATATCCTTTCCAGCAGCTTCATACTTGGGTCAACTCCATCCTACCCTAGATTGAGGACAAGGGGTCAATCTCCACATAAACTCTTGTAAGCTTTGCTTGTTTCCTAGTACTGGATGGGTCTCATAACTCCCACTCATTCTCGTGCAAGAATAGTTTCATCAACGGTCACAAACTGGTTTAGGTGACCAAAATCACTCGAACTTATTCCACTGATGAAACAACTCTATGCGTATGTTGCCTGCATGACTTATCTTACATAAAGTGAAGAACTTAGACCAGATGGTCTCTAAGGGACCTTCTGGCTCTGATACACTCTGGCTTACAGAATACTTCCTATAACAGATTACCTGGAATCTAATTTAGAACAAGGTCCATTCCATACCAGGGCTCTGGGGCTCTTAACACAATAGTGGATGGCCCCATTATCTTGAAAACAAACAATGCTTAGAATCCAACAAAGGTCCCCTGATTCCTTGGGTAGTAA